AGAGTTTCCTTTATCAATTTGTTTTTTTTTTAACTTCTGATGCCATTATTGTGTAGTTTCTGTAGGAGTAGACTGTGGGACACCATGTCGCCCGCAAACAGTCTGACTGTTGAGTGTATGCCATTTGGTAGGACGTTTATATAAAAAAGAAAGAGACTGGTAAGGGAGCTATACCATTTGATTTTTATGGGGGCTAGGATGAAAATTTTTGTCCTGCATTTTTTTTAGTTGTAATCTCTGTCCTGCCTTTTTATTTTTCACTCTATTCGGTCCTGCCTTTTTTTATTAGTTTATCCTGACTTTTTTACATTTTTTAAATTTTCATCCTAGCCCCTTCCCCCATAAAAATCAAATGGTAGCTCCCTAAAGATCGGGAAAATTTCACTGGCTAGTTCTGTCAGTAGCATTGGTTTGATATTTTTGGTCCAGCAGCCTTGTGTGGACTAAGATTTTTCAGTTGTTTTTCCACTCAGTTATTATGTGATGATTATTTGATCGCTGTTTCGATAGTTTTCTAGTAGATCTGTCATGAGTTTTTTCTTCTGTTGACATCTCTTTCACTGATAGGACATGCAGCGGAGAAGACCACTTGGAATTAATCATTTAGTACATTTGCTTTGTTTATTGCATCGGTTTCTAATTTCCCGTTTCTTCTAATTGTTGCTACTCCATTTACATCACTTTTCTTGTGTTTGATGTACGTCCAGAACATTTTTGTTAGTGAACGGATGGTCTCATTATCTTCTGGAGTTATTGTGCTTCTATATATTTCCAATCGGCTTGTCTTGATGTTCTATGGATATTTTGTTTCAGTTGTTTAAATCTTTTGATATCAGTAGTATGGTTTGATTTATTTTTCTTCTCATTTTTGCCTCATACGGTTTTTGATTTCCTAGGTTATCCATGGGTTTTTATCCTTAGTCTTGCATATTTTGGAAGGTATATGCTGGTTTGTACTGCTTTCCAGGCCTTCCTTGAACATATTCCAGAATATGTTTATTTTTTTTATTCCGGCTTTCTTTTTGAATTTGTATATAAAGCAAATTCATATCTTCTTTCATACTGTCCCATTTAGCTCTTCTATACAGTTGATTTCTTCTTGGCTTTTGGTTGTGTTTCATTTGATTGGTATTTTGTTTCAGCATACTGCAGAATATCATGGTCTGAAATTCCTGGAATGACATCTAGTCTCATCATTTTACTTGGACAGTTGGTGATAAAAAGGTCCAATGTGTTTTTATTTCTAGTTTGCTCTTGTACTAATTGTGTTAATCCATTGTCATCAAGAATATCTGTAAGCTGGTAGTGTTGTTCTGCATGTTGGGTTCCTTGGCGTAGGGTTTTGTTTGTCCAATTTCCATCCTTGCAGGTTGAAGTCACCCGAATCAATAAGCATTCATCTATTGACAGCTGTTTCAAATTCATAGAGGCTCTCTTTGTTAGATGTTTTAGGATTATATAATGGGCAAATGTAGAGGTCTTTTGTGCCTTTTATTGGATTATTGGATAGTTGACCTATTGCTTAGAGTATCTGATCAACTGACAAAATTATGAAAACTTAATACTGGCCAATGAACCATGAAAATGAGGTCAAGGTAAAATGAACCCTGCAAGACACACATTTACACCCTACAATCGTTCCGTGCACCAAATTTAATTGATCTATTGCTTATAATATCTAAGAAATAGACCAACCAACAAAAGCTAAACATTGTCCAATGAACCATGAAAATGAGGTCAAGGTGAAGTGAAAACTGTCTGATAGGTATGACGACCTTACAAGGTACGGACATACCAAATATAGTTATCTTATTACTCATAATTAGAGAGAAAACCATCATTTAAATTATGCAGAACAGTAATTGTATGATCTGCTTTGTAGTGCCCATGCTCCATGGTGGATAATCTCACACTAAGACTACTAAAGAAGAGGCTCCTTCGAGCCTGTAACCTCACCTGGTAAAGGTATGCAACTTTGATATTAATGTTTAGCTATAGGAGTCATCCAAAGGTTTCAGTCATTTTCAGGGATTTTTGTAGATCTTGTATTGCTGATGATTTTTGCCTCAACAGGTTCTGTCTAACATATTTTGAGTTAATAGCAAAAAATCGTCTTTTAAGGGCAAATACTCTTTAAGGAGTCATCTGATAATTTTAGTGCAAACAGAACGTAGGTAGATCTTGACATTCTGAGAATTTGGCCCCACTCAGATTTTCTCTTGTATATTATTAGAAAATTAATGCATTTTACCTTCATGTTTAATTTCAGCCATGGTGGCCACGTTTCTTGACAGACTAGAATAAAAACAAAATGCTCTGCAGGGCACAGCTTGATATGACCGCAGGGGTCGAGCCCTGAACAGTTGGGCACATATGGACACAACATTCAAGCTTGATACAGCTCTGAATTTGAATTGTGATTAAATATTTGACCCAGCATAGGTTTCTGGCACGGAATGAAGTGGTCTTTGAACTTAAAAATTTGCAATTGGACATTTACCTATTATGGTCCTATATCAAAAATCTTATTACGTGGTTAAATTCTGCATATCAAAGAACCTCAAGAATTTAATTCTTGAAGAAATCAAAAAGTTTAATTTTGGACCCTTTTGACATCAATGTGGACCATTTTGATAACAGGGCTAAAAATTAAAAATCTAAATACACGGTTAGATTCTGCATATCAAAGAACCCCACATATTCAATTTTTGTTGAAATCAGTATTTTGTTTTTGCCCCCCCCCCCCCAAATTCCTTAACGGTTAGGGCCATAAACCCCAAAATCAATCCCAACCTTCCTTTTGTGGTATGGAACCTTGTGGTACAATTTCATAGAGATCCATACACTCAATTTATTGTTTGGAACCAAATGTCTACGGACGACTAAGACTACGACATCGACATACCATTATATGGCCACAAACTTTTTAGGTTGTATAAAAAGCACTTTATACTAGATACCCCAAGAATTATTCAGACCAAGTTTGGTTGAAATTATTCAAGCAGTTTCAGAGAAGATTTATTAAAAAAAAATGACAAGAGTGGACACACAGAAATGTCTCGCCTGTCGTGTATTTCTAACTGAAGTTATGTTGAAAGTAAATGCTATCAGACATACATTATAAATTTTAAGCTGTAAATAATGAGATAATGCCGTTGCTGCTGATGCCTGTATGAGCGCTAAAGCTGCTGCCAGGCCGATTTTATCCGCTATATGAAGACAAGCTGGATAACTGTGGTTAAGAGTGAAATAACTTAGTGATATACCATTTATATTGATTATTGTGATTAAAGATGGCAGTGAAGAATGAAAAAAACTAACATTGACCTATGAACCATGAAAATAAGGTCAAGGTCTTATGAACCCTGCCAGACAGACAGATACGCCTTACAATCATTCCATACACCAAATATAGTTGACCTATTGTTTCTATTTTCTAAGAAACAAAGTTTAGCATTAAAAATTAACATTGACCAATGAGCCATGTAAAAGAGGTTTAGGTCATATGATACCTAGCGGACAGACATAAACACCTTATAAACATTCCATACAAGAAATATAGTTGACCTATTGCTTATAGTTGAACAAAATAGACCAAAACACCAAATTTTAACACCGAGCAATGAACTGTAAAAATGACATCAAGGTCAAATAAAATATGCCAGACTGACATGTACATCGTAAAATATTTTCATACACCAAATATAGTTGATTTATTTTATACAGTGTAAGAAAAACAGACCAAAACACAAAAACTTAACTTTAACCAATGAACCATGAAAATGAGGTCAAGGTCAGATGACACCTGTCAGTTGGACATGTACACCTTACACTCATTCCATACACCAAACATAGTAGACCTATTGCATACAGTACAAGAAAAACAGACCAAAACACAAAACTTAACTTTAACCAATGAACCATGAAAATGAGGTCAAGGTCAGATGACACCTGCCAGTTGGACATGTACACCTTACAATCATTCCAAACACCAAATACAGTAGACCTATTGCTTATAGTATTTGAGATATGGACTTGACCACCAAAACTTAACCTTGTTCGCTGATCCATGAAATGAGGTCGAGGTCAAGTGAAAACTGTCTGACGGGCATGAGGACCTTGAAAGGTACGCACATACCAAATATAGTTATCCTATTACTCATTATAAGAGAGAAATTAAGGATACTAAAAACCTTAACTTTTTTTCAAGTAGTCACTGAACCATGAAAATGAGGTCAAGGTCGATGGACATATGACAGACGGAAACTTCATAACATAAGGCATCTATACACAAAGTATGAAGGATCCAGGTATTCTATCTTCTGAAATATTAAGCCTTTAAGAAGTTAGCTAACGCCGCCGCTGGATCACTATCCCTATGTCGAGCTTTCTGCGACAAAAGTCGCAAGCTCGACAAAAACCACAAGAACAAGCACCAAGTGATTACAATAGCTCACCTTGCCCAGGTGAGCTTAAAAGGGGTTAGGATACCAAAGAGGTAATCAAAACCAAGAAAGATCAAAGGAAAAAAGATGAATAGACCAACAGCCCTGAAACTAAATACTGAGCAACATGAACCCCCATCAAAAGCCCAGAAGTAACCATTTTACATTTTATAATATAAGAATAAGAGGATGATTTAAATGGGACAAATTCTCAATATGTTACCTCTGTGTCCTTAAATAGGTGTAGATGATGCAATATTTAGCAGTACAAAAAATGTAGACACATTTCAAATTTTGTTTGTTGAAAACTTTTTTTAACATTAAACCTTTTATAGTCAACTATACCCTGTTTTTTTCTCATTGTTGAAGGCTGTACAGTAGCCTATAATTGCTTACATCCGCTTCATTAAATCTTTGGTGGATAGTTGTGTCATTGGCAAATATACCACATCTCCTTATTTTCATATTGTTATATTTGGGTATGAGACTTACCACAAACAAAGTACTGTCAATATTTGATAATGAATTTCGACTCCATAAAGAGAAACAATACCATATCAAACTATGCTTTTAATGGTATCACCAAAATAAGGAACAATTTTGTATAAATTATCACACATTGTTAAGTTGTATTTATACTCCATGGTAATTCTTGTCATACAAGAACATAATAAATATAAATATTTGTATCCACAATAAACAAAACTATTCACAGTGGAATCAAGAATGACAATACTATATACAAACAATATATTGTAGATTAATTTTCTTGTATCAGTGAAATGTTGGTTGTATTTTAAAGTTTAACAATGTAAAGTTCATGAATTGTTAAAGCGATGATTCTTGTATACTAACACAAAAAGAAACTGTATTTCTCTTGCATAATTTGACATACTTGTGTAAAATTCCTAAAGGATGTGCAACATTTTTCTCTCTTTTTATAAACAACAAACTTTCACCATGTATTGAAAAGTTTACTGACAAATAGACAAGCCAGAAAATCAAGAGACTATTTTGAAGGAAAGTTTTCTAGCATAAGTTAATATATCTATTTTCAGGCTATCATCTTGTAATAACATTGCATCGTAAAACCCACTAAATTATGTGTTACATCATTTCTTTGAACTGAGAGATTTTGTCCACATGATCATGTGTACATTTATATAACATTATAAATATCTAAAATGCATGCTTTAAATTTCAAAGACATAATCTAAATGCAATTAGTATAATACTCCTTTCCATGCTCATTTCACACATTTGGCTTAGACAAGAACATGTAATAAAGGTTTACACAAAATTTTTTATGCTTTGATTCCATCATTATTAAATAATTTGGCTTAAGGCAAAATACAAAAGCCTCCAATGCAGAGTTTCACTGCAATCACTTCAATACTATCAAAAGAGGATTCCATTCAAATACAATGCAATTATTTAAGTAACACACAAATACAGGAAGTATCAATTATCTGTTATCTTCTATAGCAGACAACGTACAAAATAACTACAGACTGTTACTCACAAAAGCTTTTACCTAAAATGATCACAAACTTTTTACCAAAACAAATCACTCACCTTCTTCAAATAACAGTATTTACATTCACAAGACTAGCAAACATTATCACACATATTTTATGTACATTAAGCACAAGAGAGCAATTAGAATCTGATGAATTCTGGGTAATATTTTCAAAAGTGTACACCAAATTGTTATGATTGGCCTCCTAAACAATGGATATTCAACTAATAGTGTAATAATATTTTAATTTGGTGTACACAAAATGAAATTACCCACGATTCCTCTGATTCTAAATGGCCAAATATGTCCCATCAAATCTGGCAGATTTATTCTCAACAAAAATTATAATTGTGATTTTAGGATAAATGAATGTGTCAAAAATATTAAGTATCATGATATTAAGCATAAAATGCTATCAGTTAACATATGTGAGAAAAATAAATTTTCAATAACTATAATTTATGGTTTGACATCCAGATCATAAAATCTGACTACTACAGCAACAATGCAATATGTTGCAAAAATGGAAAATCATAACAGAAAATAATGGTGCAAAAAAAACAAAGTAATAATATGACATAGTATCAAATCAATTTTTGTTTCTTTGTCAGACAGAATCAAAAATGTTTCTCTAATTTTTTCAATATTTTCACATTTCCCAACCAATTGTGAAAAAATTGTTCTCCTCACCAGTGAAATATCTGTTCTCATGAAATGATTGGTCGAAATTCAATTATGATGTCAAATTTTCTAAATTTCTTCTGAATTTCCTATTGTGAGGTCATGAAAAAAGGGGACCATGCCTTAGAAGTCACATGTAAAGAACACAACTTTCTTCAAATCTTTGAAAAGGATAAAAATCATTAGAGAAACATATTCCACAACTATAACTCATGTATTACGATATTTCTCCACGCTTAACGGTTAAATTTTAATTATTTAAAAAGCTCTGCAAGCCTCGCACTTTAAATATCAAAATCTAACTGTCTCGAGTGGAGAAATATCGTAACACACTTGTTACAGTGGTGGAATCTACATATCTACCGTCATCCATTCGTTATAAAGTTCTCCTCAATAACTGTTTATATTACAAGCTGTTTTCCTAAGCAAATGTCAAATGTGAAGTTATTTATCCAGTAACTAAATCCTGCTATAAGTAGCAATATTTTCAAAAATATCAAACCCAACGACAGGAGTTCGTAAAAAATAATTATATATTTAAAAAATATATGAAAATGAATGCATTTTTGAATAAAGATAACAAGAATACCTTTATACAAAAGAGACACCGGTATTTTTATTATATTATAAAATACTCAAAAATAAATTTACTTTTAGCCTAATATATCATTTTATAGACGTGGATACAATGCAGCCTTGATATGAAATGTTTATATTATTATTACAGCGGGTATAGCTAACGTTTTACCAAATGCTTCATTAAAATAGGAGACACTGATTGGACAAAACTGTAAGACTAAAAAATCATTGTTGTACATTTTTGCCCCAAGTTATATATTGACATTTTCCATTTAATATATGCAACTTGTAGAAAATAAGATAAAGTGAATTTTATATATGGCACAGGAAATGTCCAGGTAACTATGATGGTGCACAAGGAATTCTGGGAATATCATCTGAATCAGAAGAATCGTTCTCACTGTTCTCAGTGCTGGTTGAGTCTCTTTCACCTTCTGCTTCTCTTTCTCTCTGAAAAAGAAAACTTCATTACAAACAAGTCGAACTGTGAGCTATTGCTCATTAATGAAACCCCTGCTTTAAGTTTTTGGTACACAGGAAATTGAAGAGGAATGGATGTGAAACCCATTACATTATATAAGATTCGATTTTCGCTGAATTCCTAAAAGTTGTTGGTCTACCATGATTACATGTTGTTTTGGTAAACAGGTGTTCTTATTCAATAGAACATTGTATGCCTGCATATCTATTAGGTTAATCGAGGGTTGTATGAATATGGGTTGGGTTTTCAATGAGTTTTTGTCGAACCTATAATATTCAACTTCCTGATAAAAAGTAAACTATCATGAAAAGAAGGTTAATATTTGCACCAAAATAGCTTTCATTCATTTATATACAAAATGAACTATATTCTTGAAAATAAACTGTTAACACAGAAATATGTCTCACCTTTTTGATTTTTGATAGTAAAATGCAAATGTTGAAATTAGATAACAATACTTTAACATGAAAGTTATGCAAAATATTCAGTCAATGAACTATGACTGAAAGTACAGGGCAAAATAATCTCCATGAATATGAGATGTGCCAATGCTAATACAACTACATACCAGATATCATTGACCTACCACTAGTGGTTCCCCATAAATTGACCTAATCACAACTACTACATGTAAACTTAGCAAAAGTTTCAAAGTCAATAGACCATGATTGAGGGGCAGGGCAAAATAATCTCCATGGAAATGAGAAGTGCCAATGCTAACACAACTGCATACCAAATATCATTGATCTATCACTAGTGGTTCCCCGTAAACTGACGTAATCAAAAACTAATACATTGTTGACGCCGCTGCCACCAGAAACAGCATACTTATGTCTTGCTTTTTGACTCCTTCAAGGCGAAACAAAAATTGTCAAACAAATATTTTCTGAAAACTAAAGATACTGTCTCTTTCACCTTCTTGTCCACAAAATCTTATCCCTTTCCATGCCCTGTGTATGTGAAACATGGTAAACCCAAACTTTCTTGTCACAGGCATGTTTAGAATGTCTCACTGAAAAATGATCAGCCTTCTTGCCCTAGACATGCATAGAATGTCTCACTAAACACTAACCCGTCTTCTTGCCCTAGGCATGTGATGCATGATATACCATAACATTTGCCCATCTATCATATCTACATCATGTATTCTTTCGTCTTCTCTTTCCTTCATATTCCGTTTTGTTGCCTAATTTAATAATAAAATACATGTATAGATTCAACAGTAAATCTTTTTTATACAGCAATGTATTACATGTATACAGTAGTATAAACTTCATTTATATATATACTGAAATAAAATTCATTTCTATTTATACTGAAGTAAAGTAAATTTTTATTCATATTGAACTATTATCACATTTTTAGTTGAAAGTAAACACAAAACAATATGATAAGAAATGGAGAATGTGTCCATGGGATACAGATGATGCCCCTGCTTGCACATAACATTATAAATGAACATAACTCAAGAACAGTAAAAGTGACGCAACCAAAACTCGAACTTCATCTGTGTGTTTGTGGTAACAAGTTTCATAACATTTGGTTGAGGCAAACTTAAGGTAGAGAACGGGAAACTAATTTTGGGACGTACAGACGGACAGAAGGACGTACGAACGGACGGACAAAGGTAACACTTAATGCCCCCTCATAAAAAGGATTGTCAAAATTTTAGTAAAAAGATAATGTAAAATATCAGCCACATAACACAATATGAACTTTTATTGCTTATTCAATATGCTATGTCGCCAATAATATCAAGAGAAATACACTTGTGAAGTTTTGCTTACTGATGATACCCCCTTTAAGTGTTTAGCTTCCTGATGATACCCCCTTTAAGTGTTTAGCTTACTGATGATACCCCCTTTAAGTGTTTAGCTTACTGATGATACCCCCTTTAAGTGTTTTGCTTACTGATGATACCCCCTTTAAGTGTTTAGCTTACTGATGATACCCCTTTAAGTGTTTAGCTTACTGATGACACCCCCTTTAAGTGTTTAGCTTACTGATGATACCCCTTTAAGTGTTTAGCTTACTGATGATACCCCCTTTAAGTGTTTAGCTTACTGATGATACCCCCTTTAAGTGTTTTGCTTACTGATGATACCCCCTTTAAGTGTTTTGCTTACTGATGATACCCCCTTTAAGTGTTTTGCTTACTGATGATACCCCCTTTAAGTGTTTAGCTTACTGATGATACCCCCTTTAAGTGTTTAGCTTACTGATGATACCCCCTTTAAGTGTTTTGCTTACTGATGATACCCCCTTTAAGTGTTTAGCTTACTGATGATACCCCCTTTAAGTGTTTTGCTTACTGATGAGACCCCCTTTAGTGTTTAGTAAACATAGAAGTTGATGAGTGATTGATGTGAAAAGGGCATCCAACTGTATAGCATGCATAAATAAAACTTGTCAAAGATCCATTCTAAGATTTCTACCTTTTTAATTCCTTTGAGATCTGTAGGTTGTTCTGCCATAGGGGACCATATCTTTACTTCGTGATCCAATCCACTGGTAGCAAGTACAGGCAATGTTGGGTGTGCTTCTAATACATTTATCTAAGTACAAAAAATTTCTATTATAGTTAAGTTTCAGCAACTCTTTTCACAAAAAATTTTATGATTGAAATTGATCATAAGTTATACTGAAATGTGTATGACTTACGAGTAATTTTACTCTTAAGATTTTTTGTGAAAAGAGCTGCAGGATTTTATGAAATATATTGTTTGATAACTTTTATATAATACTGTTTTTCCTATACATATATGTAAGAAGGGGAATAACTTCAGCTTAAATAAAACAATGGATTACTCATTTCATAATAGAACATAAATTCCTGCTTACAAGCCTATAGAAAATGTACATTTTGTTGAACCTGTTCACCTACAACCATGAAAAATAGTATCAAATACATGATATCAAATTCACATTATTCCGAGTGATATTGTATTTATGACTTACTGCTCCGTTGTCATCTCCAGTCAAATATTGTACGATCTGTTCTGTCTCCTTGTCCCACAGGAATACATGTCCACAGTCACTTCCACTCACAATAAACTCACTCTTAGGTCCGTAGAAGTTTACACCCTTTACTAAAATAGTCATGTTACATATCTAATGTTTATTTTGCATAAAAGATATTTCAAAGTATTATATTTTGCAGCTTTATCATCTTAATATTAAAGATTAAATTTGTATTTGCCTGCTGTAAATTAATCTTCATTTAATTTGATATCAAATATAAGCATCATTTTTGTCTTTATATTGCAATTATTATATTCGATCAGTCAAAATGTATTGACTAAGTTTTCATGTCGTGTATATTGTCTTAAGCCAGACCTACCACTTTATGATTTGTAATGAAATGTACACTTTCAAAAAGAATAAACAACATCAATTTATTTCTCCATGTCTCCAACAAAAAATTATTGATCTTGTTCTTATTTTTTGAAAAGTTGTATAAATTATTAGGTTTATTACTTATTGAAATTAATATGCTATTTTGAAATCAGATGCACTGGTTCACCAGATTAATTTCAACAAAACCATTTTGAAGTGTAATAATTTTACTCTGCTAAGGTAAGAGACCTTTTCAATTTAGGATGAAAGCAGTTTTAAAAATATTTACAAAAAAAAAATGATAGCACAAACTGGGTATAAAATTGTTTTAAATTACAAAGACAATAACAGCGTATTATCTTGACATAATAATATAAAGATATAGCATGAAATGGAGAAATGCTCAGCAGTCTCTCACATTGTCCCACTTTCTAAGTCGTATCCTTATACGTAATTATGTGAAGTCAAAACACTATGTCAATATTCTTCATGATTTACCTTAGCAGTTATTTCTGTATGACCTACCTGTATGGTAATTTCTGTGAGCATGACCTGTCAGTGGTTATTTCCGTGAGTATGACCTGTGTGGTAATTTCTGTGAGTATGACCTGTGTGTGGTTATTTTGGTGAGTATGACTGGTGTGTGGTTATTTCTGTGAGTATGACCTGTTGTGTGGTAATTTCTGAGAGTATGACCTGTGTGCGGTAATTTCTAAGAGTATGACCTGTGTGTGATAATTTCTGTGAGTATGACCTGTGTGTGGTAATTTTTTGTAAGTATGACCTTTGTGTGGTTATTTATATGAGTATGACCTGTGTGTGGTTATTTCTGTGAGTATGACCTATGTGTGGTAATTTCAGAATGACCTGTGTGTGGTTATTTCTGTGAGTATGACCTGTGTGTGGTTATTTCTCTGAATATAACCTACCTGTGTGGTTATTTCTATGTCCAGTGTAGCGTTTTACATATTCTGCACCATCAGTATGGTAATTATTAAACATGTAGATATCTTCATCATTATAAGATCCAATTATTTCTGCAAATACAGAGATAGTGTATTTTTATCTTTATTATTGCAGATTTGTTTCTTTACTGTTATTATGATTATGAATCACATTTATGGCAAAACTTCATAAAGAATAATCAAAACACCAATTGCTAGATATTTGTGACAAAATCTGTAGAAACAGTTATTTTATACACATATTTGAACAATAGACAAACTAGTTAACCTAAGATTATAACAAGTTTCTAAAAACTTCATAAATGACAAAACACATAAAAATTTTTAAGAATTTTTTTTTTTTTCTTTTCAATGTGTCAGTATCATAGCCATGTCAAATACTGTTGTTTGAGTCTGGCTTAAATCTTTTACACAGAAGACAAATACTTGTTAACAATGCACTGTGCATGAAGGAAATTCAACTTAAATGATTTTTTCATGGTATACAACATGACAAATAAAACCTACCTGTGCCATTATAATTATACACAGCACATGTAACATTAGCCTTCACATCACTGTCAACCTGTAATCATAGTAAAATGAAATAAGAACACACATCACTCTCAACCTGTAATCATAGTAAAATGAAATAAGAACACACATCACTCTCAATCTGTAATCATAGTAAAATGAAATAAAAACAAAATTTATACTATGATAACGAAGGAACTGATTCCTACAAAGTAGTTCTTGCCAAGTCTATTGCAATTTGAATGCTTAAGTATTTTGTTTATTTAAAACTAACTGGTGAAAATAAATTTTTATAGAAAAAAGTAAAATCACAAAAATACTGAACTCCGAGGAAAATTGAAAAAGGAAAGTCCCCAAGTCTTATAGAAGTTATGGTTCCTTTAATAAACATGATAGACAGAATTCTAATCAAGAAATTATTTATTCTATTATCTGTAATATTACAAAATGTAACTTAAATCTGGCTTAATATTTTATAAGATAGAAGTTAAAGGATTAATTATATAATAAAATATAAATGATGTTAAATAAACTAAATACAATAAATATAACTGAGAGAATGTATTATATATGAGCAAAACATTTTATAGACTAAAGTTTAGGCAGTAGAACATCAAAGGAATTGAAAAAGTGTCACAGAGTATGACAAATGCAGATGAAGCTTGGTGCCATATATTAAGAAGCTTTGACTGGTAGCTGCCAAAAAATGTGTTATGGACAGAGATATCAATGGATAGACAGAATGTACCACCACCCCCTCTTTCAGGGTTGGGGTATACGTATAAAACTGATTATGGAAACTATGACATTAAATTTGTTCACTAACATTGTCAACAATGTTGTGAAACATAAGTAGATATTGGATAACATACTTATATTGTTAACTAATCTGCAGTCACTAACCACATCAAGCATTCTCATATCCTCTATACATACAACTTAAATACCACATCAAACATTCTCATATTATCTCTATATAGAACTTACCACATCAAGCATTCTCATATTATCTCTATCTACAACTTACCACATCAAGCATTCTCATATTATCTCTATATACAACTTACCATATCAAGAATTCTCATACTATCTCTACATACAACTTACCACATCAAGCATTCTCATATTATCTCTATATATAACTTACCACTTCAAGCATTCTCATATGATCTCTATATATAACTTACCACATCAAGCATTCTCATATGATCTCTATATATAACTTACCACATTAAGCATTCTCATATTATCTCTATATAGAACTTACCATATCAATCATTCTCATATTATCTCTATATAGAACTTACCACATAGAGCATTCACATATTATCTCTATATATAACTTACCACTTCAAGCATTCTCATATGATCTCTATATATAACTTACCACATCAAGCATTCTCATATGATCTCTACATATAACTTACCACATCAAGCATTCTCATATTACCTCTATATACAACTTACCACATCAAGCATTCTCATATTATCTCTATATATAACTTCTCTATATATAACTTACAACATCAAGCATTCTCATATGATCTCTATATACAACTTACCACATCAAGCATTCTCATATTATCTCTATATATAACTTACCACATCAAGCATTCTCATATGATCTCTATATACAACTTACCACATCAAGCATTCTCATATGATCTCTATATACAACTTGCCACATCAAGCATTCTCATATTATCTCTATATATAACTTACCACATCAAGCATTCTCATATGATCTCTATATACAACTTACCACATCAAGCATTCTCATATGATCTCTATATACAACTTGCCACAATAAGCATTCTCATATGATCTGTATATATAACTTGCCACATCAAGCATTCTCATATTATCTCTATATACAACTTACCACATCAAGCATTCTCATATGATCTCTATATACAACTTACCACATCAAGCATTCTCATATGATCTCTATATATAACTTACCACATCAAGCATTCTCATATTATCTCTACATACAACTTACCACATCAAGCATTCTCATATTATCTCTATATATAACTTACCACATCAAGCATTCTCATATTATCTCTACATACAACTTACCACATCAAGCATTCTCATATTATCTCTATATATAACTTACCACATCAAGCATTCTCATATTATCTCTATATATAACTTACCACATCAAGCATTCTCATATTATCTCTATATATAACTTACCACATCAAGCATTCTCATATAATCTCTATATATAACTTACCAATTTATGAGGACAAAACTTTTTCAGTAGCCCTGAGGATGGATCATCCTATAATAGACAGAATACACATTATTCAGGCAATGATACTGAAATAGTAAAATATCAAGAGATTTATATCAATGGATCAACACAAAAACAAACAGCGCTCGCTAAGAATTAAACTTTATCTAATTGTTGACATGTTAAATTTTAAGATTTGTTTAATATTATAGTTTGAATTAATTAATTAATTTTTTTTATTGACTTCATCCAATTAAAGCTCAAAATTCAATGAAGATCAAGAATCCAAGGATCTTACATAGGCTGTAGTAGTTCATGCATCACTGAACAAGAATGAATTACTTCACTGAAAATTAGTTTTTTAAATTTGTCTGCTTAAAAAGAACAGCAAGACATCTGTAGATAGACATTTCATATAATGAGCAAATATTTATTTTTTACACATAAAATTGAGAATGGAAATGGGGAATGTGTCAAAGAGACAACAACCCGACCATAGAGCAGACAACAGCCGAAGGCCACCAATGGGTCTTCAATGCAGCGAGAAACTTCCGCACTCAAAGGCGTCCTTCAGCTGGCCCCTAAACAAATATGTATACTAGTTCAGTGATAATGGACGTCATACTAAACTCCAAATTATACACAGGAAACTAAAATTAAAAATGATACAAGACTAACAAAGGCCAGAGGCTCCTATCTTGGGACAGGTGCAAAAATGTGGCGGGGTTAAACATACCGACATTTTTGTGCTTTGTAAAGAATATTACCATAAAAGATTGGATGTGAAATACCTGCATGTGTACATAATTCGTGAATATTGTGCTAGTTCTGTAAGCATGTAAGAGACAATTGTGTTTACCATTCGGCATCATGACAAGATTGTTTTCCTAATGAAAGTATGTTTCAGGGTTCATCTTCATATTCAGATGATTTTCCAAATGATCTGTAAACTACTGTTCCCTTACATAGCATATTAAATGTATCATAAATGTTATCCAAATTACTTTCTTTAGCATGCATGCAATATTATCGTTTGTTATATGTATGAATTTCCTTCTAAATAAAGTTCAGCATGTTCTTACCTTATCAATCTTTCTTTTATCATACACTCTAAAACATAAGAAAATTTTTATCATATATACATATTTGTATTAGTATGCAAGAAATCATTGGAAATAACATCAATTTGACATTAGAAAATAAGAATATGACTATAGCTAAAATAAGAATGCATTTCTTATTGTTCTAAGGATACCCACACAGTAATTCAAAGTGTCAAATAGGTGTCTAACAGATCTAAAACCTGTTCACAGATGACAAATCATCACTGTCAAGCTGCTAAATACATATGAAGTCATTCAGTTAGGTAGTACTGGAGAAAAAGTGTAACCAAAATTAAGTTCATTCACCATACATAAAAGTTAAAAGTCTTGACATATTTACAGATCAGAAACAAGTTACAACACATCACTGTCAAGCAGCTGACCAAATATGAAGTCATTCTGTTCAGCAGAAACTGAGAAAATTTGATGAATACAATGTATATTTATTTGACAAGAAGGACAGAGGACAAGGTGAATGTAATATACACCTCATCTAAGGTATTTATAATAATAATTCAGGTTTTTCTATTAAGAATCTAACACTTCTTATTAATTTATTGGTGAAAAAAGTGTATGAAGCCTGGAAATATTAAAATCAAGTCAGGGTTTCACTGTCATGACAGTGACTTTTGAGACAGCAACAAAATGACTGTTACTTTGTTTTTAGGTTTTAGCCTGGTGATATTGTGCTGGCATGTATTAATACAAAGTATCATACCTTTTCAATTATGCATGTCACCTGCTTTCCTCAAATCACAATAATAATGCAGTACAAATAAAGTTTACCTATCAACTGAGAATTAAAACAAGACATGAAATCGGGTCAATATATGTGTTACACAAAACAATGAGCTATATGTATGAGCTTACAGCCAAATATATCTGACATCACTCTCAGGAATAAAAAAAATAGCCATGAATGTAAAAAAAATGTTAATTGAACAATAAACTGAAACAGGCTCTATACTCTCAAAATAGCATTTTTCAACAAAAAAAGTCTGATGGGAACCTAATGCCACAAGATGCCAAGCTTTAAAATATCAAACAGAAAAAACATAAAAGAAATTGTCCTCTTTTTTGGAATACAAAGTTTGAGCACCACAGCCACAAAAAGGTTTTATAGTCATATGAAACTGAGTTTCTTGTAATTTTAATGTTATCAAAATTATTGAACCAATGCATTAATATAAACTAAACTAAGTCCTGCATGCATGTTTTTTTTATATCTATTACGAATCTATAACGTATTATCGACAAATAATATTTCATTACATGATGGTTGATAATTAACTTTCGAGTGTGTTGCCGAAGTTAATCAGGTCGTTATATTGATAGACAATTAACACAGACCACTTGGAGCTCGTGACAAATAAGTTAACTTTTTCTTAACAGTTGTTAAATAATTTTTTGTATTAAATGTGTTCTTTAAGAATCAGTTATTACTATTTACCTTCCAGTGCAAGTTTGTTTACATTCTTTCATAAAGGTATTCCCCTCGCACCTGCACTGTGTGGTGGTCAAAGTTCTAACGAGAAGTCTTGTGGTTAAGATCATTGCATACGGGAAAATATTGGCGAATTAGTGTACGGGAAGACAATAATTCAATAGCAGTACATTTAGCAAGGTTTAGATAATATAAAAGATTTTCTTTTACAAGAAAGTTCACTTACACATGTTTTATCATCGTAAAACGTAGCCATTCAAGTATATAAAACAAAATAAACTTTTTTTTTTAATTTGAAGTTTCACATGACTTTAACCATTGTTTCAGCCAAAAAAAATTAAACGATAAATTTGTATTTTACCTAATGAAATGATCACGTCCGCCAACACAGAACTCAAAGGAATTACCAGGATTTGAATGGATAGAATATAATGGTATTCTTTTATCTCCTTCTTTGGTAAGTGCCAGTCTGAAATACATTAAAAACATTCTAATTTGTTTAGGAAAATATTTTAATAACATGTTTTCAAGTCTAAAGGAATTATATTGGAAATGTTTATGCATTTGATAAATACACAATTGTTTCTTTAAAATTTATTCCTATTGATTTTTAATTTTTTTAATAAAAGCCAAAGACTACTACATGTGTATCTATAGTTTTCTGTCACAACTTTATCTATGAATATCAATTGATGTTTTAGTTGACATTGATATCAGACATTAGTTTATAGTGAACAGATATATTATGTTAAGGAGGGGTATTTGTGAAAAATACCAGTCGAGAGAATGTTAAATTTCGCGAGCCGTAAGGCGAGGGAAATTCATTCTCAAGACTGGTATTTCTCGCAAATACCCCTCAAGAACATGCTATATCTGTTTAATTACACCGAATGTTAACGTTCAAAAACGCATTGATGATCGTGACGTTATAAGCATCCAGTCGGATAGAGTATTTTTTGGCAAATACCACGGCAGAGAGGGTAAAAAAGGCATATCCTTTTTGCATATACCCCTGCGGCGTTAAAAAATGAACGATATTCATTTGATAACAGTAAATTGGTGAAAAATACACTGGCTATCAACCAATCAAAACCCAGGATTCTTACATAAGGTGTAATTATAGTAGAAACACACATATTCAAACCACTGCTGCAATCCTTGACATATAATGTTAGATGAGATTCCATTAGAGGTCTTGTTACCTCTTTCTCTTCATATTATACTTACTTATTTGGCTTTTCTTCTCTTAAGTCTACACCATACACTAAAGCATCTTCTCCACAACTAAGGAACACATGGGGAGAATCATGCTCTAAAGCCAACTGTAATAAATTTAATATTTCCTAAAGGCATGATTTAACTCATTCTGATTGAAATACTAGTTCTGTGCCAGGCTTTAATCATATTTGCTTACAAGGATTTGACAACACTCTCCATTCATTTTCTATTCTGAAGACCTTTTCCTTTTAGGGATACTTGCAATTGGGATTTCATGTAATGTAAAATACGTTACAAAATATAGAGATGGGAATTTCATTGGTTGACATCATGATTATCAAAACATTAAGAAGGTGATGTATAGTCAGGTCTTTGTAAACAAAATGTGAGAACACAAAATCATTATTTCAACCAGATTTGAATTAAATTGATGAAACACATAACATATATTGCTTAACCATAAAACAGTCAACATCAATATGATCAATAAAAACTTAGTTTCTAATTATACAAAATAACATGTGTTGTCCTGCTAAGCATACCCCCACTGTCCTTTCGTTGTATGGTATCTGACAATTACTCTTTTTTTCAGCAAAACAACTATCTTAAGTCTTTACAAGTAATTGTCAAATTCACATTAAAACAATCTAGCCGTAATTGGAATTTTATGATGCATCACATTGCGAAAGTTTCAAAATGTTTTAACTGCTACTTATTATTTAAGATATCTTCAGAAATGGAAGTGTCATGAATGAAATAACATAAACTGTTGACACAGAGATATGTCTCGTCTGTCAGCATTAAATTCAGAAAAAGACAATCTGATGGATAGCAACATTGCTATTTAAAATTCAAAGTCACTGGATCATGAACTACTGGGCAGGGCCTTGAAATGGTTGATAAACAAAGATGTACAGACAGCAATGTAACTTTAAGAAAATATTGTTGTCTATTGTAAGTAGTTCCTTTCAAAAAGATTTAAGCAGAAAACTAAACATTGAAATTGCTAAATAATTCAAAGTCTCTGGACCATGACCTAGGGGCAGGGCTTCGAAATAGTCGTTAAACTGATATGTACTGATAGTAATGCAGCTTTATAGAAAATATCATTGATCTATCACAAGTAGTTCCTATCAAACTAACTTAAGCAGAAACTTTAAATTGAAAATTGTTTATTAATTAAAGGTCAATGCAATGAACCATGGCCTAGGGGGCAGGGCCTCAAAATAGTCATCAAACTGATATGTACAGATAGTAATGCAACTTCATACAAAATATCATTGATTTATCACAAGTAGTTCCTATCAAACTAACTTAAGCAGAAAACCTAACATTTGAAATTGCTAATTAATTCAAAGTCACTGGACCATGGCCTACAGGGTAGGGCCTAAAAATAGTCGTCAAACTGATCTGTACTGATAGTCAGTCAGGGGTAATACTTGTACAAGTCATTTTTTTTTACTTGAAAACGCAAGTAATTATATACTTGTATAAGTAAACTTGTAACATTTATATTTTCTTTTCAAGGTTTGAAAAATCTCCGCTTCATGCTCCAAAAATAAGTATTACCCCTGACTGATAGTAATGCAACTTCATACAAAACATCATTGATCTATCATAAGTAGTTCCTATCAAACTAGCTTAAGCAGAAAACTTAATATTTAACATTGCTAATTAATTCAAAGTCACTGGACCATGGCCTAGGGGCAGGGCCTCAAAATAGTTGTCAAACTGAAATGTATTGATAGTAATGCAACTTTCTATAAAATATCAATGATCTATCACAAGTTGTTCCTATCAATCTAACTTAGCAGAAAACTTAACAATTGTTGACGCTGCATTTCCGTCGCTGGAACAGCAATCCCTATGTCTCGCTTTCACGACTTTTGTTGCAGGCGAGACAATACTTAATGGTCAAAATGATTAAAAGAACTAAACTTACAGACAAGAATGCAGTCTTTTTACTTACATTCTTCTCTCCACACTTCCTAAAATAAAATGCCCCGCTGGGCGCAGCTTGATATGACCGCAGAGGTCGAACCCTGAACAGTTGAGGCAAGTATGGACACAACATTCAAGCTTTATACAGCACTGAATTTGGATTGTGATTAAATATTTGACACAGCATAGGTTTCTGACACAGAGTAAATGTGGTCTAATAACTTAAAAAAATTTTAATTTAACTATTCAAACCATATCATTATTATTTGCTTTTATATATAAATCAGAAATAACCAATTTAAAATGGAAAATTTTAAAGAAAAAAAAAAAGAAAAAAAAAGCAAAAAAAAATCCCTCCCCCAAATTTTTTGAACCTCCTTATGATTCATCACCCCCAAACTCAATCCCAGCCTTTCCTTTGTGGTATGGTACCTTGCAGTACAATTTCAGAGAGATCCATACACTTGAACACAAGTTATTGTCTGGAAACTAGAAAAATGCTTGTTTTTAGGCCCCTTTTTGGCCCCAAATTCCTAAACATTTAGGGCAATTACCCCCAAACTCAAACCCAACTTTCCCTTTGTGATATCGAACCTTGTAGTACAATTTCAGAAAGATCCATACACTTACACACAAGTTATTATCATGAAACTAGAAAAATGCTTGTTTTTTGCCCCTTTTTTGGCCCCTAATTCCTAAAATTTTGAGGCAATTACCCCCAAAATCAATCCCAGCATTCCCTTCTGATATGGAACCTTGTGGTACAATGTCAGAGAGGTCTATACACTAACACACAAGTTATTTCTGGAAGTTACAAAAATGCTTATTTTTGGCCCCTGATTCCTCAACTATTGGTACCATAACCCCGAAAATCAATCCCAACCTTCCTTTTGTGGTATTGAACCTTATGGTAAAATTTCATAGAGATCCATTCACTTAAACAAAAGTTAAGAGTGCGAAAACCAGTGTGTCTTCGGACGACAACGACGACGCCAACGTCATACCAATATACGACCACAAAATTTTTTTGCGGATCGTATAAAAACTACTAACAAACACAATGTGTTTAGAAGCTACAGCTTACCTTATGAGCAGCTCCTTTGTGTTGAGCTAGCTTTTTTGTATTTTTACACACACCAGTCAATGAAAGTTCGGCCAATCTTATCTGTCCATCCCTGGCACAGCTCACCACATGACAGTCACCGCTAAATGGCATAAACTTTGCCTAAAATTTTATCGATATATATATATGTTATGGTAAATAAATGGAGAATGTGTCTATGGGCCACAGATTCATCCGCTTGAAAATATGCATGAGTCAACTTCCACATACAGATGCAGGATTCACGTAGTTAAGACTGTTTTGTGATTTCATAATGTTTGGTTGAGGCAAACTAAAGTAAGAGAACGGAAACGAAAATTTAATCAATTTTTATGTTTATAAAGGGGCATAACTCACGAACGGTAAAAGTGACGCCACCCAATTTCGAACTTGATCTGTGTTTTGTATTATAATAAGCATTGTGTATAAGTTTTATAATATTTGTTTGATGCAAACTTGAGTTAGAGACTGGAAACCAATTTTGGGGATGTACGCGGCAGATAGGACGGACAAGGGTAACAATTAATGCCCCCACCGCTACAGTAGGGGCAAAAAGATAGTAAAGTAAAAGTAAGGTGACCTCTAAGATGCCTATAGTCACAAACCTCTCATGTTGGGTTTATGCCTCAGTGGCATTGACCTAATAATATTTCCTTTTTTTCATGACATGATCTGCATTTTGATACAGAATATAATTATGATCATCTATGCTCAGTACAAAAATTTGGCAAGCTGACATATCCTTCGAAAATAGTTCCTCATTTCTGCAACATGTGCAATAAGTTGATGTTTCAGAGAGCTGACAATGACCATGATGACCCTTTCATACCTCAATCAATCCAAATTTTATTCATTGATATCATGTTCTAAACTAAAAATAAATGCAGAAACAATGCATGTATATGCCAGTTTTTTTGTTAGCAGTAAATTCTATCTGGATTTTTTTTTAGCAAACCAAACATTAATTAGCTAGTGACCAAATTAAAATTTTGCAGTTGTTGGGAAATTGGTAAACAGATGCATGACTAACTCCCTTTTCAAAATATATGTGTTAAGCTGCTTCCATCTACATTTTGCATGAGTTACAATGAGTCAATCTTTAATGCATAGTCATCCCATACTTATACATCTACTTACCTGGAATACATTGCTTCTATGTCCACTGTCATAATACAATGCTGGTCTTTGGCGTATCCAATTCCAAAGAACTATATTCAAGTCATCTGATCCGCTGGCTAAAAGTGTACCTAAAAATAAAAATTCACTGTACACAAAACATATTTCTACTCTTGTCAACTATCAACTTAGGTTCTACATGTATGAAGTTAGTCCCTACGCATATGTACATGTATATCACATGCAACAGAACTATAAATAATTCATTGATGATCTAATGATACATTGTATTCCCTACAAATACATGTACATGTATGAACCATTAGCTTACACATGTTACAGTACAAAACATATTTTTGTTTCAACTGAAATATCCTTATTTGGAGTACATGTTCATGAGCAGTCAAGGGTGTAACTTGAATAAGTTATTAGAGAAAAATAACATACATGTGTTATTACGGATACTTTCTCTTAATCTGTAGTAACATATGTTTGTTATCAGTTAAATGTACCATACAAATTTTTATTTTCAGTGGGCACTTGGGAATTCTTGAAACTTGCGCAGTAACTTAATACATAACCTTGTAAAACTAATTTTCCAATTCAATTAATACATTTTTGATCAACCATGGTAAATCAATGAGACAAGGCTTTTAAGTGATAACTTAGCTGTAATAACAAGGCTTAGTTATTACAGGCATTTAACTTATTACATGAGACACTTGGGAATGACTAGGAAGCTTGCCCAGAACCTCATTACATGCTCTTATCATTATTTATTACAATAAATTAAAATACATTGTGATATATGTAGGAGAATAGGCTTTGAAGAGATGTAGAGAAGCTATAATAACACCCTTTAGTTATCACAGGCATATTTGTTCTGTAATAACATGGGTGTGTTAACGTTATGCATGATTGGCAAACTATTGGCTGTTACATCTTTCTAAAGTTTAATATACATAAAGACAATTATAATATAAATAGAACTAGTACACAATTTAACAAAATAAAGCATGTATAATGCCCCTTTGAAACACGTAACATACATATGTTATCACAGATTTTTGATTTTTTAGCCCTCAATAACAAATGTATGTTATTTTTCTCTAATAACTTATTTAAGTTAGACCCTTGACTGATGAGTATAGACCATATTTCATGTATACAGATATACATGCATTTTCACCACGTTTATCCGTACAAACATAACTTACCAATTCTGTTAAAATGTAGTGCGTTAACACATCCATCATGATACTCTAGTTTGCATTGTAATTCAAATCTCTTCACTAGATTTACACTACCCTGAACTTTCTCTCTGAAATATGATGGTGGAATTTTTTTTGAATATCCATATTCTCTGTTGCGCAGATCTTTTATTGCTTTGAATGTTTGTTTCAGATTTTCATTTTCAAATGCTACTTCTTCCTCTGATTCTGACTCGCTACTTTTTTTCTGCTCCACATCAGAATCATCGTCAGAATCAATAACATCTTCACTTCTATGAACACTTGAATCTAAATCAACATTGTCACTACTTTCATTGTCACTACTTTCGTTTTCACTACTTGAACCCACCCTGTTCATTCTCCGCTTGCGTTTAACTTTTTTTGTTCTAACAATGACTTCATCATCTTCATCTTCACTTTCACTAGAATTTTCATTGCCAGTCTCTTTAATATCATCATCACCTGATGGCATTGTTACATCACATGACTCTGTCGGTTCACTATCATCCAAGTCCATGCCCTGTCCAACTATGGCATTGTATGATTCTCTGGAAGAGTCTTCGTTTTCTGACAACTTTAAACTTAATGCAACCCCTGAGTCTGTTTTTGTGGACATGGCACCACTTTCACTATGAGATTCACTTACGTCAAGATCTGATACACCATCTCTCCCTGGGGATCTATGCAAATCTAGGCCACTGTCATCTTTCTTTATTCCTATACTTTTGTCAGTAAAACTGCTTGCACCCTCACACTTATCGGCCATATTGTTGGTTTCATCATTTTGCTTCATATCACACTTTGCATGCTTTGTATAAACATTGTTTGAATCTTCACAGACAATCGTACATTTATTATTATCATCTGTTTCTTTTATGACACCATTTTTACTGTGCTCAGTCATATCTGCATATGCATTTTCTCCCAAAATAGACTTTTCGCAATCATTAGAACAATTTTTTGATCCTTCACTCCCATCACATAAACTGTTGTTGCAACAGAGATCTCTCCCTATACCAGACTCATCATTAGGGAGGTACCCTCTCCCTGGAGTGTGTATGAGATCACTACTTGTGTCTTGACCAATACCGGACTCATTTAGGGATATCTTATCTTTATTCCTGGGTTCTGCACTTTCATTCTCTACTTCTGCCATCATGTTTTCTTCTTTTGATGACTACTTTTATTTCACATTCTGTAAAATATAGATACATGTATATGATGTAAAGATATATTTGACATTTAATGATGTATAACTTTTGCTTTTCAGTGAGGCTGAGAATACTGGAAGGAACACTTTATATGGACATTTTGAAATGATAATCATCATGATCATACTTTTAAATATAGGGGTACATGTATTATATTATTTAATAAAATAATTTAATTGTGGTTTTTGCTATTCTAATTACTGACGACAGGCTTTCATGAAGTTTTCACAGGATAAAAATAAATTATAAAGACCATCTAATCGAATAAAAAGTAAAAACTTACATGAAAACTTATAGTTTATTCCAGATTTTAGCTCAATTTCAATTGTAGACAAATATTTGGGATTGTCAGCACTCAAACAAATCTAAATTTTGATTAAAAATTGATGTTTGGTGATCATACTTTATTCAAATGAAAGCAATATAAAATATGCAGCTTCTTCAGCAATGATTTTCATTTCACTTTTAAAGACAAAAGACAATCACTGACATGACTGATAGGTTCCTGATTTAAGAAAGGCACATGAATATGTCACAATGTTAATCCAGTTTGTTTCAAAGCCTATTTAGTCACACTGGATATCAAAGCTCATTTTAAAAAAAACCATGTGTGTGTACCATGTATTATAGTCAAAAGGAATTCAAATTAAAGCTGATAGAAAATTAAGATGCTATTTTTCACTATTGTTTTCTCCTAAAAAGATCAATGCAGAAGCTATTAAATATTGAGATATTATTTTAAATTAATCATCTCAGAAAAACCAGCATGAAGATATATCATCTCTTGGCAGAATTTTGCCTTAAATTCATTTTTTTCTTTTTAAACACTTTAACAGTTAATTTTCATTTTGCAGAAAACTGAAGGTACAACGTTAACCAGTTATTGAATAGTGGTAAGGTCAGATGAGCTTTATCCCTAGTGTTTCAAATCTCTATCTAGATTGAGTAATTTACAGTACATGTACAAGTGACTTCAAAGGAAAAAGGCACCAATGCAACCATTTCATAGTTCGCTCTAGATACCTGAAAATATGTTTTCACTTAGTATCTCCCCAATAAAGGTTTTCAAATATTGGCTGATATGGTATAAATGATTAAGACTGAATATAAAATAATGTCTAGTGTCTAAGGTCACATGTAATGGTCTGAGTGACAGAAGTTAATAGAAAAACAAAGGATGTCGGGTATATACTTGGTTGCTTCAAGTCTGGGTCAACAATGTTTGCTTTGTCCATGAGAACTCTCATAAAAGTCAAATTCTCCAAGCTGTCACAAATAACAGATGAAATTGTGACTTTCCCAATAAACCTAATATCTATTAGACTTGCACTTGCACTGCAGGTGGTAAAGTGTTATATGTATAAAAATAAGGAGATGAGGTATGATTGCCAATGAGACAACTATCCACTAAAATACAAATGAAGTGGATGCTAGCAATTATAGGCAATCATACGGCCTTCAACAATGAGAAAACCCTTATATTTTTTTACTGTATAATCGGCTATAAAAAGCCCCCACATAAAAAATATGAAACAATTCAATTGAGAAAACTAACAGCTATGAACCGACATGAACAGACGACAACCACTGAACTACAGGCTCCTGTAATGTAACTTTCAGTGTGCATGTTTTTCGTGCTTGAAGCTATAAGTCACTGTGCTTAGTGCAAATTTGTTAAATAAGCAAAGTGAAAGCTATTTTTTTTTTTGTGAATTACTATTTATATTTTTCTGTCGCTGTGCACATGCTTCCCCTCCCTTTCATGCTTAACAACCCTCATTACTAGCATGACTGGACATGCCCAATGTCACACACAACAGATGTTCAAGTAAAATTTAGACATCGGAACGACGGAAGTGAAATGCCTGAAACTACAAAGCAAAACAGATTGTTGCACTGAACATGTATAACATCAAAAGTTAAAATGTCACTGATTCCAATATAGCAGTGAGGTACATGTATGTTCATGCCCATACAGGGAAATAACTCCTATAAAATTTTCTAAAGAGAAGTAAAAAGAATTAAATGCTGGCCCATATATGCTAACAATTTAAATAAAACTGAAGGGAATAGACTTCAAAATGTTTTCCTGTTCATTAATTGTGTGATCATAAACATTGTTGGGTCAAGGATGACTGAAAATTATTAAAAGTTCAAACAATTTAACAAAACAATTTTGTGTTTGCCTATTTACGACGATAAAACTTGGCAATATGTTTTTGATGTTGTTTGTCACTGACATGTAAGTCTTTATCTGTATGGGTGAAGATATGGTTGTTTTAAAACAGACTTGATACTTGAGAGCTGTCAAAGTCTGTTTCTTCTTCCACAATCAGCTGTGTTTTTCTCTCTTTCCTTCTTTGCTGAATGATAAACTGCTTTTTGATTGGTTCTTAAGTATGTTTACAAAGTTATCCAAATTTGTACATAATTAAATAGTACCAATCGTTAATGTATTGCCACAAAACAAATAAATTTCTTACTATTTTCCAAAGATTTGAATAAAATTGTTTATTTTTGTTTTTCTGATCATTCACTGCTGTGCTGTATCATGGACGAATTTGTCAACAACCTGTCAAAACAAACGTGAACTTTGGACTCGAGAACTGTGGTTTAAAGCATAAACAATGTTTTCAACGCTTCTAAGAGATCTCCGAGCTCATGCTATTAGCAACATTGAATATTATCAGAATGGAACCACGACATCAACGTCATTATTTCACAAATCTTTTAGCCTCATGCATGAACATCTCGATAGAGGGATCCAACCCTCAATAGAAGAAATTACCCCACGTTTGGCTGATTATGATTTATCCCCAGACATCCACGCGAACGGTTATCGAAGTTTGATCAAAGTTGTTCACAAATGTTGCCTTCATCTTTTACAGTTATCTCGACACATTTCAAATAATAGAACTTCTATGTTCTTCCGTGGTCACCACTATTCAAAGGAATTGGAATCTTATGTTTCTGTTTTGGGACAACTAAGAGCTAGTTTACATTATGCCAATAAGCTTATCCCATTTTGTGATCAAGGAAATCTTTTTGCTAATGAAGCCTATCTTGACAATGAAGTTGCCGAAAATCTATTGAAGGATGTGGAGCGATTAAGTCAGGACTGTTTCTATGGGAGATGCCTTGGTTTTCAGGTATAAGAATAGTTTTATGCTTCCTAACAAGCTTAAAGTTTCTGCTTTGTCCATCTGCCAGGGTGCCTGTTCAAGTAATCAGATATCCAATGGACATTAATTAATGATCCTTAAAAATAATTTATTTCAAATCAATAGGGTCGGCTAGTTGGGATAATTTTTTTTCATTTTATTGTTAAGAATGGAGCTATTAATCCAATTCCATCCCAAGGAACTGTCCTCTCTAACAGGAAATAGCCATATTAGCCACTAAATTGATACACACTGAAATATTTTCCCAAAAATTCTCTCATGTTTAGCTTTCAAGCTTTTCGGCCACACAACCAGATCAGCCACAGGTCATAAAAACAGGGAATTTCTGCCAAAGTACATTTGTACCAGTTCAGCCATAGTTGATTCGGCCACACTATTTCATAATGTTCTTAACATCATATAAAATTTCTTGTTTACATGTATATATATCTTCAGATTTCACTATATAATAAAAGATGGTAATATATTTAGATGATTTTATAACATCCACTTCATATATTTATACCATCATATATTAGTATCAATGCGCAAATCTTAAGACTTTAATACAAAATTTATGCATTAATTGTATTGACAAAAGTTGGTTTGAAAAATAATCATTGATAATGTTACCAGATTACTTTACAAAATAACATTTTGTCTTAAAGTGTACATCTGCTGTGAAACACGAGGACAGTGGACACAAGACTTTCTTATGTCACACATGGTTGAGACAATGAAATATTGTTTGTAGAAGACTACACATTGGTAAATTGTAAAAAAAGAATCTACTTAACAATTTCATATTTTATAAAAATGAAATATAATAAGCTCAATTTAGGCAAAACTTAATCAGTCAGGGAAATTACTGAAATAAGTGATTCATAAAATCACTTATTTAAGTAGCAAATTAGAAATTCTGTGATTTTGTAGTTTTACCAAAATTTTAAACATTCAGGTTTAGATTATATCTTATTATTAGTAAAAATGAATTGTAGCAAGGTTAATGCCTTTTATGCAATCTTTCAGCTGTAAATTCTATATTTGTTGAAAAAATGCTATAAAGAAGGCTTTACCTGATGAACTAATACTTTCTTAACTGATTTTTCAAAGCAGTGGGAGTATTTTTCCTGTAAAATTCAAGGTTTCATCTTACAGATTATGTATTAAAATTTTACTGTTCGCGATCAAAATTTTACTGTTTGGGGGTGTTGAAATTAGTGGGGGTAATTAAAATTATAATACTTAAAGAAGTGATTTTTTTTAAGAAAATAGAGGTACATGTATGATACTTACACAAGTGATTTTCATGTCATTATCCCAGATTCAATGCAAGGTCATCACCTGAAATGACAGGTCATCCTATACACACAGATGTTGGTTCTTATAATTTTAGCAACATAATTAAATGTAGTCCCAGGATCATAAGTTATGTTAGTATTGTATATTTAAAGCTACAATAAAATTTAATCTGAGTGATTTATTTGTACTACTTAAATAGGTGATTATTAAAGAAAGACAACTCTTACTTCCATTTTTGCGCCTGTCCCAAGTCAGGAGCCTCTGGCCTTTGGTAGTCTTGTATCATTTTTAATTTTAGTTTCCTGTGTATAATTTGGAGTTTAGTATGACGTCCATTATCACTGAACTAGTATACATATTTGTTTAGGGGCCAGCTGAAGGACGCCTCCGGGTGCGGGAGTTTCTCGCTGCATTGAAGACCCATTGGTGGCCTTCGGCTGTTGTCTGCTCTATGGTCGGGTTGTTGTCTCTTTGACACATTCCCCATTTCCATTCTCAATTTTATTCCAACATTTCTGGACAAAATGTTACTTGAATCAGTGATTTAGAAATCATTCATTTAAGTCATGTAAGTAAGTCCCCTGACTGTTAATCATTTGAAAATTTTTGAGGCATTGGCAAAAGAGATGTATCAAAGTATTTTCTCTAAATTAAAGTTAATCATCATCAGCTTAATTTTTTTATCGTAAAAAAAAGATATGATCAAATCAGGGACGAATATATTATATATTTGTTGATTGTTAAAAAATCTTATTTTTTGGCATACAAATTTTGAAATAATTTAATTGAAAAATGAAAATAACTGCAGTAACTGAATTGTAAAGTTATCATGGTTATAAACATATAAAAATTAAAAAAAAGGTTAAATATTTGGATTTTATCCAAACATGTTATGTCATTGCAATATAAAATTAAACTCAACTACATGTACATGTAGGTGAAATTTTTATTATTTGCACTTTTGCTTGTCTTTCTTAGTGTAATTCGTTGAGAATAAAAGTCTTGTGAAGTCCTGTGCACACACATGATGTTGACAGCTTTATCATAGTGGTTATGTTAATAAGTTGCCAATGTTATATAATTAGATACTGTACAATGTATATGTCTCTGCAAAAAGTAACTTTTTTAATATGATAAGTATCTTTTTTAAGCATTATAATGATAAGAACTGTGCTGTTTTAATCTTTATTGTAATATAATAATGAAATGCTGATAAAGAAAATGAAAGAAAACATAAAACATGTTGTTTTCATGATTGTTATGTATTAAACTTAAGTCCATCCAAATAACTGCCTTAGTCCTATGCTGTTACCTGATAAAGATTGGTTTTTGTTCTCACTCTGAAGTAAACTTATGCCCTCAAAAGTCCAGCTTTAACCATGCAAGTGTTACTGCTTACACATTCACATTACCATGATATGCAGGTCAAGTCTGATTTTGACTTGCTAGAATTACTGTTCCAGAGTGATATTCCATTGAATGGTCTCAAAATGATAAAAACAAGGGGGAAAAATGATGTTAAAATGAATTAAAGATGTGATGACGACAGATTTCTCTGTCATAGTCCTGATAGAAGGTACACATAGCAAAAAATGGTGTGGAATTAACTGACATTACAGACACTTACAGACTCTTACATTTGTACTTAAATAAAATAATTATTGCATATAGGTAAACATGTTTGATTTGAGGAAGGAGGCAACAGGAGAATTTTTCAAGGGATGGAATATTTATTTCCACCTTTTGGGGTTGCTCGAATTTGACCTTTATTATTTTCTTGAATAATCTGTATTTTATGTCTTGAATCATTTCTTTTAACTTTGGTGTTCCAAAATCACAGTACACATAGAATGCGAATGCACATTTCATAGAGAACACTGTAACCTCTGTTTACATATTGTTGTTTAGGTATACATGTAAGCTAGTTAACCATTCTAACAAATCTAATATTATGCATGTACACATGTACAAAACTGTAGCTACACATACAAATGCAAAAAAAAAAAAAAATTGATTAAAAGTGATTTATAGCATTTTCATTTCCTTTGCTTTCAGTTTTGTGAGTCAATGGTAAAACCATTACATGGGGTTGGTGTTGCCATGGCATCATTTAGTGATGGATACAAAAATGAATCACATTTGTTGCAACTGACAACAGCTTTGTTCAACAGCGGAAAATACTTCTTAGACCCAGACCTAAGAGCACAAAGAGTAAGTACATGTATTTGCAAATATTAACATATGTACTTCAGTAAGATTGATACAGTGGATTAATTTTGCAAAGTTAATACAAACTATGTCCATTGGCAATGCATGCGCAATGAAGACAAAAACTGTTGGATAATCTTTTAAAAAATTATATTTCAATTTTAGATATTTTTCGTACATGCACATGATGTATGGATAAAACGAAATGTTGGATATACATGTATATGAAAAAGTGTTTAAATTACACAAGCAATAGCAGTGTTTTTTATTTACAACTTAAACATAGAATTTTAGGATTAGATTAATTTTAAATACAAATTAGAAAGAAAAACTATGAACATATGTATTTTTATATTGCAAAGAAAAACCAAAGAAAAGAATCTTAGAAAGTTCTTCAATGAATAAATTACTAAAGTCGTGGTTACCTGTAAATTATGGCAACAGTAGTCATGGTAGTACATGTATACCGCTGTTAAATTACTAAAGTCGTGGTTACTTGTAAATTATGGCAACATTAGTATACCGCTGTTAAATGTTTTATTGAACTCAAGGATGTACTTACTCTTACATGTAGGGGAGGTTTCAGAATTTGTGTCCTTGTTTTTTTTCCTACAAAACAGGGTAAAATATTTTGCCCCATAACACCCATTTTTCTTTTCATGTAAGACTTCAATAGCTCATAAAAGGTCATTTACCAAAATTTAAGCAGATTCTAGATTTCTTTTCTTTCGATTTGAGACCCAAATAATACCAATGCAAATATATGGTAAAAGTCTGAGTCAGCCTTTTCCCGCCATTTTTTAAAAATCAGATATCTCGAAAAGGAGCTCCATAACCTATCAAAATTTTTAGCTTATTTTGTTCTTTAACTAATGCTCTTCCGACTTATAGTATCAATTTTAAATTCTAGATTTTTTTAATTTCACCTAAGTACATCTTTAAAATTACTTCATCAGATAAAGTCAAGTCCAAAGTTTTGAAAGTCAAAGAAATGCAAAAGTCATGCATATCATGCATATGGGATACAACAATTTACAGTAAAACATGAATTATCAGAATCCCCAATGAGACATCAATTAGTTATTTCAATGGTATCAAATGATTAGTTTTGTCTTAATAAGTAAGAATCTTAGTTCAAATGATAAACACTTTAATAATCATGTAATATGTAATATTTTCATCAAAATGTATCTTATAAATGATATGAATTCCAGAGCACTGACTATTGGTCAGATCATTCCCATGGCTGCCAACATTCCACCATCTGGCCAAGTAATTAAAGTCACAGATACTAATTTTGCTGCTTAGAAAGTTTTTTTTTCTATATTATCTGACATTGATTTGATATGCTGAGAAAAAAAGATAAGGAAAAGAGAAAGTAATACATGTATATAAAAAGTAAGCAAATAAACCCAAAGGAGAATTTAACATAATGTTTTCTAACTTTTTTAGGTTGTAGATGTCACTAGAACAGCAGATATAAGTTTCTGTAAAGCTTTCTGGTCCATACCAGAAACGGATTTTATGCAGGTTTGTAATTTATTGTTATGCAGTTGTGTTATTAGTATATATTTTAAAGAAGGGGAAAAAAGGTTGGATTCTCAGCTGGTTCAAACCAAAGAATTTATAACTGGTGTACATATTCTCCTTCTACTTCAAGCATGAAACATTCAGGAGTAATATCAAAGCAGATTTTCCAAAACGGCCATTTTGTCTAGACTTGTCTATTCTTCAAACATTTGTCTAGATAGAAATTTACTGAAATGGATCATTTCAAATATTTATAATCATTTCAAATATTTCTAATTATTCTAAATATCTCTAATTATACCAAATATTTCTAATTACTGTGGATTCATTTATTTTCGTGGGTATCAATTTTCGTGGATTGAGAAAAACTTGCATTTTCGTGGATATTTGATTTCGTGGTTTTACCAATTTCTGCATACAAAGCCAAAAGAAAATTTGTAATTCGTTGAACATTTGAATTCGTGGTTCACCTGTACCCACGAAACCCACGAAAATTGGTATCCAACGAATAATAATGAAACCACAGTATTCTAAATATCTCCAATTATTCCAAATATTTCTAATTATTCTAAATATCTCTAATAGTTCCAAATATTTCTAATTATAAAGGAAAGGATGTGTGACAAGATGTACAAGTATTTCAAATATTCTGATTTTGAGTTAACAGTGATTAAGGTGTTATCTGGTATCCGAAAATGGATAACTAAAGTTAACTTTCTGTAAGTCTGTTATTGCAGTAATAAAGAGAATAGCACAGGCTGAGGTTCCACATTTCAAAGGATGAACAATCAGTTAATTGAACTACAAATGTAGTATAAAAGTAAAAGTAAATAAGTACCATGTGTTGTGACAAAATTATTTGCCCTTGATCTCCCAGTGGTTACTAAGATTGGCTTGAACGCCTTTTGTTACTAATGCTAAAATTATTAAAAACAGGAGCAAACAAAATGTCTGGCTGGCTCTATTTATTTTGAAAACCAACCAACACATTGTTGAAAGGTAAGCTGCAGAAACCTAAAATTCAATCAATCATATTATTTATGCCATGTACAAAGGATGTACACGGTGAGACAGTAAACACTTGTATCAGTAAAGCTGTCTGACTGAATGATAGTTTCACTAATTATTTTGAAAGATCTTTCAGTACATATTGTACACTTTATCACTTCATAATACATATAGTAAGATTTGTTTGTTCATTAGATTTTAACATTTCATTTTAGTTGTCACATCTTGCATGTCCAAGAGTCCATGTAAATGAGGTTATTGCAATTCAACCAGGACCATTTGAGATGAATTGTCATAAAAGTGTGGAAACAGTTGTTATAACACCTCCATGTGCCTACACAGGGCCAGGGAATATCAAAATGAGGCTGTTTTCAAATCATTGGAGAGAAGGACAGGTCAGTATTCACTGTAACAGTATGGAAACATAACACCAACATATGCCTACTCAGGGCCAGGAAAAATCAAAATGAGACCCCTCTCAAATCACTGGAGAGAACAACATGTCAGTATTAACTGTAACAGTATGGAAACATAACACCGACATATGCCTACTCAGGGCCAAGAAAAATGAAAATGTGACCCTTCTCAAATCACTGGAGAGAAAGACATGTCATTATTAACTGTAATAGTATGGAAACATAACACCAACATATGCCTACTCAGGGCCAAGAAAAATCAAAATGCGACCCTTCTCAAATCACTGGAGAGAAAGACATGTCATTATTAACTGTAATAGTATGGAAACATAACACCAACATATGCCTACTCAGGGCCAAGAAAAATCAAAATGCGACCCTTCTCAAATCACTGGAGAGAAAGACATGTCATTATTAACTGTAATAGTATGGAAACATAACACCAACACATGCCTACTCAGGGCCAAGAAAAATCAAAATGCGACCCTTCTCAAATCACTGGAGAGAAAGACATGTCATTATTAACTGTAATAGTATGGAAACATAACACCAACATATGCCAATGTTTCCATTTGATTTGTTGTTTCTTTTTCATTACTTCATCCTATGACTTTTTTAAACATCAAAATTATGATCTTGAGTCTCAAAATTTAAGCAACTTTGAACAGTTGTTGTTGCTTCATTAAGAATGTCAGTGTTTTATCATCTCTTTTTTTACAGAAAGTTCCACATACAAAGATGAAGAAGAAACCACACCCAAAATCTTCAGGATTAGTTCTACATTGTCATGGTGGAGGATTTGTAGCACAGTCTTCAAGGTCACATGAGGTAATGTATAGAACTTAGACAAAGTAAAAACATCTATTAAACTAGACATCATTGAGATGGGAGCCATCTCTGTGGGCCCCGCTGACCTTGCACTTTGACCTAGGAAGTTGTACAAACATTATGACACACCCTCTGGTGTTGATTAATATACATGTCAAGTATAAAGTATGAAATTATAACGGTTCTCTAGATATAGAGCGGACACAATTTATTACGGCCGGACAGACAGACGGACAGACTGATCACTATAGGGCAACCCGCCACTAATAAGAGAAGGGATCAGTCCAGAATAAATTTTATCACTTCATTATTAAGCATCTCCATTTCATGCAGTTTATGAGGCCTGGCCCTTAATAATGCTTGAAGGCAGTCAACAGATAACTGACAGGATAGTAATTACAGGTCACTGTACCCGGTACAACTGGCCTTAATAACATAAATAGTACCAATTTTAATGCACCAGATGAGCAATTCGACAATTAATGTCTTCAGTGATGCTAGAGGCCAAAATATTTAAAAATCAAAATCTAATACAAATGTTGAAGACAGATTAAACAGGCTGTTCTGCAGCAGTCTTTTTTGAGAATTGATTGATAAATCAATTCTTGAAACAGTTAAATCATTCACTATTTATATGATATCTAAGTAAATATTAAGGGGTAACAATAACTGTTGTGCAATATGTGTTTCATTGATTGTTTTGTAGGTATATTTGAGGCAATGGGCCAAGGATTTGGATGTACCTATATTATCTATTGACTATTCATTAGCTCCTGAGTACCCTTTCCCTAGAGCTTTAGAAGAGTGTTTTTATGCATATGCTTGGGCACTGGAGAATTCAGAGCTTCTAGGTATTACATTTACTAATTATATATATCAGCTTTTGTTCCGAACTCACACATAATATTCTAAATATTTCATCTGGAAAAGTTCTCTTTTAAGAAAAAAAAATGATCTGCCTTTACAAAGAGATGGAAGATTTTTGGATGATATTGAGTATTCAAGTATGTGTAACTGCCAATAGCAAGTTTTCAGAAAAAAAGTGTCAGACTTTTTTCATTTATGTGTCAACTCATTCTAACTTTTGTATTATTGATGTTTGATGGTTGGTTATATTTAAAGAAGTGATTCATCTTTAATATGTGCAAGTACCTTTATAAAATTTTAGGATGGACAGGTGAGAGGATATGTTTTGCTGGAGATAGTGCTGGTGGTAACCTGATGATGGCTACAGCTATCAGAGCAGCATCCTTCCAGATCAGGGTACCAGATGGGATAATGGCAGCCTATACACCATTCATGGTCAGATATACACCATCACCATCAAGGATGATGGGATTGATGGATCCCTTGCTCCCTATGGGGATCCTAACCAGATGTTTAGCAGGTAAATAATACCATACAGGATGATGGGATTGATGGATCCCTTACTTCCTATGGGGATCTTAACCAGATGTTTAGTAGGTAAATAATACCATACAGGATGATGGGATTGATGGATCCCTTACTCCCTATGGGGATCCTAACCAGATGTTTAGCAGGTAAATAATACCATACAGGATGATGGGATTGATGGATCCCTTACTTCCTATGGGGATCCTTACCAGATGTTTAGCAGGTAAATAATACCATACAGGATGATGGGATTGATGGATCCCTTACTTCCGATGGGGATCCTAACCAGATGTTTAGTAGGTAAATAATACCATACAGGATGATGGGATTGATGGATCCCTTACTTCCTATGGGGATCCTCACCAGATGTTTAGCAGGTAAATAATACCATACAGGATGATGGGATTGATGGATCACTTACTTCCTATGGGGATCCTAACCAGATGTTTAGCAGGTAAATAATACCATACAGGATGATGGGATTGATGGATCCCTTACTTCCTATGGGGATCTTAACCAGATGTTTAGCAGGTAAATAATACCATACAGGATGATGGGATTGATGGATCCCTTACTTCCTATGGGGATCATAACCAGATGTTTAGCAGGTAAATAATACCATACAGGATGATGGGATTGATGGATCCCTTACTTCCTATGGGGATCTTAACCAGATGTTTAGCAGGTAAATAATACCATACAGGACGATGGGATTGATGGATCCCTTACTCCCTATGGGGATCTTAACCAGATGTTTAGCAGGTAAATAATACCATACAGGATGATGGGATTGATGGATTCCTTACTCCCTATGGGGATCCTAACCAGATGTTTAGCAGGTAAATAATACCATACAGGATGATGGGATTGATGGATCCCTTACTTCCTATGGGGATCTTAACCAGATGTTTAGCAGGTAAATAATACCATACAGGATGATGGGATTGATGGATCCCTTACTTCCTATGGGGATCCTAACCAGATGTTTATCAGGTAAATAATACCATACAGAATGATGGGATTGATGGATCACTTACCCCTATGGGGATCCTCACCAGGTCTTTAGCAGGTAAAGAATTTCATACAGAATGATGGGATTGATGGATCCCTTACTTCCTATGGGGATCCTTACCAGATGTTTAGCAGGTAAATAATACCATACAGGATGATGGGATTGATGGATCCCTTACTTCCTATGGGGATCCTTACCAGATGTTTAGCAGGTAAATAATACCATACAGGTTGATGGGATTGATGGATCCCTTACTTCCTATGGGGATCTTAACCAGATGTTTAGCAGGTAAATAATACCATACAGGATGATGGGATTGATGGATCCCTTACTTCCTATGGGGAACTTAACCAGATCTTTAGCAGGTAAATAATACCATACAGGATGATGGGATTGATGGATCCCTTACTTCCTATGGGGATCCTTACCAGATGTTTAGCAGGTAAATAATACCATACAGGATGATGGGATTGATGGATCCCTTACTTCCTATGGGGATCCTTACCAGATGTTTAGCAGGTAAATAATACCATACAGGATGATGGGATTGATGGATCCCTTACTTCCTATGGGGATCCTTACCAGATGTTTAGCAGGTAAATAATACCATACAGGATGATGGGATTGATGGATCCCTTACTTCCTATGGGGATCATAACCAGATGTTTAGCAGGTAAATAATACCATACAGGATGATGGGATTGATGGATCCCTTACTCCCTATGGGGATCCTTACCAGATGTTTAGCAGGTAAATAATACCATACAGGATGATGGGATTGATGGATCACTTTCTCCCTATGGGGATCTTAATCAGATGTTTAGCAGGTAAAGAATTTCATACAGTAAGATGAAAATGAAGGTTTCAAATGTACTAGCTTCAGACTTGTATTTCATCAAACAATTATAAATGTAATGTCTTTTATAAGTTATTATATTGAGAATATTACAGTTTTATATATATATATATATATAGATTTATGGCAACCGTAATATTCAACAGTCACTGCGAAGTTCTACTAAATTTCCTGTATACATTTACTTAGTAAAAAAATAGATATTAGACAATTTTTATACGCCCGTTTACAGGATGTATTATTTCACAATATTGAAATTTGCTGCAGTCAAGCAACAGAACAGAACTTAAGGTAACGACAGATGAATGGAGAAATATGCTTACATTAAAGATGGTGTATTGTTGTTTGCATGCTGCAGTATATCATTATGTATTTATGAAAACAATACAACCTTTTTTGGGGAAACTTTAAAATTCTAAATTCAGATCTGTTAGACACCTACTTTCCTGTTTTTTAACATTTTGAATTACGAGTTGGTGTATGCTTGGCATGACATCAGGTGCATTCTTGTTTTTATTTAAGATGTCATGTCAAAGAACTTAAACACTTAATCAAGCAACCTACACATGATTGGACTATGAGATAATCTGACAAGCCATGATACTTAAGTTACCATCGCAACCTGTGGCAGTAATCTTAAAAAAATAATGAATACTTTGGGACTGAATTGTTATTAATTTCATTTGTTTACAGCATATGCTGGGGTTTCCACATGCTTTTCACCAAAAGATGACAAATGGGTTATTGTAGAATATAAGAAGAGTGACCACTCATTTGAAGATAGTGAAAAATCTACAAAGGGGGATAACTCTCCAACAGATACTTCAGCATCAAGTTCCAGACATAACTCTGCAATGGATACTTTGACATCTAGTTCTGATATGGAAAGCAACAGTGGAACTGAATCATGTTTTGAAGAAGTTGAAATTGATAATGGACATGTACCTCCTATTAATGAAGAAACAACAGAAAAAGATGAGGTCAAAAGTGAGGACAGTTTTGAAGTTTTGACTGTTTCAAAAGATGCTTTAGGAACTCCTGATTCAACAGACTCACAGTTTTCAGTGGAAGATTTTGTTTCAGAAGGTACTGATCATAGTACCTCCCAGAATGTAAATGTCAACAATTCTGAACCAAATGGTGCTGTAATGGAACTGTCAGAAGGTGCAACTACTAGTAATTCTGTAGAAAATGGTGGTGTTAATGAGATATCACATGATAGTGTTGTAATGAGTCCTGTGGAAGATGGTGGTTTTGATGATCAGACTTTCTCTAAGGATATATTAAGTCAGTCGAATAGTGATCAGAGTTCTAACAAACATAAAAAGTTAGCTAGAGTCAGCAAAGGGATTCCACGACAAATGTCTGTTGATTTGCCAAAGGAAATATGTCAATCTGTACCTCCAAGTCAGAGCATGCCCTATATCCAGCCACAGTCAAGGGTTCGTCAGACGTCTCGGTCAAAAACATTTGATTGTGTGGGGCATAGTGATTCAGATTCCAGTTTTGTTACAAATTGTACTGGAACATTGAATTTTGTGCCACTGAGAGCTGCCAAACATCACATTCAACATAGTCCTTTGACAGCATTTCGGCATCTGCCTATTGTGAAGAATCCATACATGTCTCCATTGCTAGCTTCAGAGGAGTTGTTGAAAGATTTGCCTCCTGTTTATCTTGTGGTAAGTTATTTTCATAGTACAAATTTTGCAATCAGTATGATGTTGTGCAAGAAGGACACATAGGAAACAAAAGGATAAGCATTTTCTTTCCAATGACTCACTTGAGCTCCCACTGTATAAAGCCTGGTTCAGAAGTAAGCTGCCATCTAATCATGCTAATACACAAATTGTTATCAATGGTTGATCAATAAACTAAAAAAACATGTTCACGTATTTTTATACAATCATGTCATACATGTACAACACACTCCTGATTAATGACTGAAACATCATTTATTGAAAGTTTTGTTAAATACTACTTGAAAAAGAATTATGAGATAGATTAAAAGATATTTACTAATGATGTCAAACTGTTATTTTCTTAATATTGAATAGTATGGATTAAAATTTACACACATGTTTTGTTGATTATTACATTATTTGTGTTCCACACTTACTGGTATAAGTTATTGTATAATCATATTATAAATTGCACTATTGTTCTAATTTTAGGCCTGCCATTTGGATCCTCTCTTGGATGATTCTGTTTCATTTGCTAAAAAGCTGAGAGATCTCAATAAAAAAGTTGACCTTCACCTTATTGATGATTTACCCCATGGATTTCTGAACTTTTCAATGGTCAGTAAGGAGGCCAGATTAGCATCTGATATATGTGTCAGTAAAATAATGAGTGTTCTTGGATAATCAATGAAATATGACTGTAAAAGTGTTCATTGAGGTGAAGTGTTCATGGGAAAGCAGTGATATATGAGTGTTCTTGGGTGAATACCTTGGCATTGTTGTTAAATATTGTCTTTCACTTATTTATTGTTAATTTGTGATATGAATTGTTGATATTTATGTTATTAATAGCCTTTTAAAATGGCACTGTTACATGTAGTCTTGTTAATGAAATTGAAATTTATATAAAATGCACACACTAAAATTGTCACACTATTTTTTTTAAGAAATGTAAATTTAAGATATTCAAAACAACAATGAAAAAATATTTTAGCTTTGTCAAGATAAACTACATAAAGGAGTTATCAAGGTTGAATTTCATTATTTTATTTTTATATTTTGCTTCGTTTTAGCAAGGCATAGTGATCCTATATTCTGAAGTCGGCGGCGTCAACATTTAGGTTCAGTCTGTGGTTAAAGTGTTTTAAGACATCAATAAATTGTCAAACCTACATGGAATTTTATGAAATTTGGACAGAAGCTTGTTTATGACCAAAATACAGTATCCAGAGCAAAATTTTGAAAATATTTATTTTCACTTTTCCATATTTTACTGATAAATGGACTTAATTTTTTTTACAGATAACAAGTAGATACAGTCTTGGGTTATTGTTTGTTACACATCAATTACTTTGTCAAACCTTCATAGAATTTTATGAAACTTTTTTATGATTAAGAGATAATGTCTGAAGCAAACTATGAAAATATATTTTCATTTTCAGTATTTTTCTGATAGATGGACAATCTGGGATTAAATTTTATTGACATGATAAGTTTGTTAACCTTCATGGATTGTTATGAATCTTGGAAAGAAGCTAATCTTCAAGACCAAGAAAAAGCATCTAATGAGAAAGTGATTTTTGTTTTAAATTCTGTATTTCACTGATAATGGACTCACTTTTTAAGTCAACATTACACTTTTACACTGACAGCAGCTATCGTAGGCGAGACACAGGGTTCCGGGGAACCCCTTACAAATTTATAAAAAAAATATTTTCCAGCTGGTGTTAATTTGTCAGTTAAAGACCAAATTAAATCAACTGTATAGTTCCAGTTACTTTGCTGGCTTGTTATAAATTTTCACATGAACACATAAATTGATAGTATATACATAACATAACTAAAAAAGCAGAAAAAATTAAAGGTCCCTGTCCTCATATTTTCAAGATATGAGCCATTGAAAAGTTGGCTGGAGATGATTCTCTCTAGATATTTCATACTTTTAACATTGGCACCTTTTTTCTTCAAAAACTATGAAAAAAACAAGGATTTTATTACATTTTCAAATATGGCTTTTTAAACTATATGTTATTATATTATGAAAAGAACAGAAGAGGTAAGTTTTTTAATGGCACTACATGGATAAAACCAGAGGATTTCGAATATCTGAAAAAAAAATCAAAAACCAAGATGAGCAAACATCCTTAAATAACTGTTACTATTTACATTTATTAACTTTGCTGTTTTATCAGTTACATTGCTGTGCATGAACTCTGTTAGATTTATGTAGAAAATATAAACAAGGTCTCTCTTAAAATAAACTTTTGAACCATTATTAAAAGTTTATTTTATAGTTCTAGATATTTAATTGAAAATACATCAAATAAAAGACTTTCACTATTTCATAAAATGTGTTTATAAATATTTTTGACAAAACTCTTCTATGATAATTTTAAACATCTTTTTTGAGGATGTATTTCAAATTAAAGCTTTTTTGTAATTGAGCTTAACTATTGCTCTTTTTATGATGTTTAATTTTTCTGACTACATGCATGAGTAAAAATGATCTTAAATTTCATAAAATTGTTTGATAAATATTATTTATACTACCAATTTTATGTGACTGAATAACCATTATTATTATTCAATCAGCATGAAGACAGTGTAACTGTTGTATAAATTTTGCAATATCACTCACTAGTGATAGCTGGATGTATATTATTGTATTCAAAATGTCTTTCTATTATCATTAATGATTATGTTTTGTACAGATATATATTTTTATGCTTCATTTTATTTTTGTGTCTGATTACAGATCTGAAATTAACATTAATGATGATATGACTTCTGTAATATCAGGATTATTATTACTTGACTCTGATATTTTGGATCTTTGTTCCATACTTCAGTGCTTGGCACAGAAAACACATTAATCTATAGAGAACAATATTGAGCTCTTAAATTATATTATATTGTTATTTTGTTATTTTGTTTAAGGATTCTAAACAGAAAGTAGTTATTTTTATGCCCCCGCCACAGGGGGCATTAAATGTTACCCTTGTCCGTCTGTACGTCTATCTGTATGTATGTCCCGAAATTGGTTTCCGTTCTCTAACTTGGTTTGCCTCAACCAAATGTTATGAAACTTATACACAATGCTTATTACCACAAAACACAGATCAAGTTTGAATTTGGGTGACGTCACTTTCACCATTCTAGAGTTATGATCTTTATTAAATGGAAAAATTTTCGTTCTCTAACTTACCGGTAAGTTTGCCTCAACCAAATGTTATGAAATTTAGATCAAGATCGAATTTGGGTGGCGTCCCTTTATAACGTTATATGCAAGCGGGGTCATCATCTGTGTCCCATGGACACATTCTCCATATATTTATGAAGCTTTGAACAAATTATACAAATGAATATAAAGTACTACACCAGTTGAAGTACTCTGTGTAGTAACAAAAAATATCTGAAGGAACAATGTTATGTACGTTTCAATATTAATGTAACTGTCTTCATCATTAAATCTGTCAAATTGGTGTTCATTTGAAAAACTGTTTAAATCAATTACCATGTGATATTGAAACTGTATGATTGTAGATTTTTTTTCATGTCCAAATAATTAGGAACACTTCCATGTTATAAGTCTGCACACCTTTAAAGACTGTGCTCTACATTTTTGATAAAGTGCAACAAGTTGCAAGGTGACCAGTCCTACATAATAAATATATATGTCATATAAATATTTAGTCAGATTGTAAGTCAAACAAGGTAAACAAATTCATGGAATGTCCTATATATATCTTTTGCAGAAGAACATGGACCAGAGCCCCATTTTGATAAAGCAGACATAAGACATGCATACATTCAAGTCTCATATATTAATGTTAGTGAAGCACACATTCAAATTGTAATAACTTTGTGAAATGGAGACCTTCTGTCCTATGTTGAACCTTGTAGCATTAAAGAAGCTTGTAAATTGCATTTTCCTAGCTTTCAGTGTTCAAGAAGCTTGTTTATTGTATTTTTCTAGCTTTCAGTGTTTAAGAAGCTTGTATAGTGTATTTTCCTAGCTTTCAGTGTTTAAAAGGTTGTATTTTATATCCCAGCTTTCTGTGTTTGATAAGCTTGTACATGTACATGGTATATTTTGTATTTTCATAGCTTTCAGTATTAAAGAAGATTGTATTTTTTTCTTCTTAGCTTTCAGTGTTAAAGGATCTTGTATTTTATATTTTCCAGCTTTTAGTATTAAAGAAGCTTGCACTTGTATTTTTGTATTTTTGTAGCTTTCAGTGTTAAAGGAGCTTGTATTTTGTATTTTCTAGCTGTTTAGAGCATGTAGAGCTAGGAAAATACAAATACACATTTTGTATTTTTCTTGATTTCACTTTTTAAGAAACTTGCATTTGTATTTTGTAATTTCCTAGCTCTTAATGTTAAAGAAGCTTGTATTTTGTATTTTCCTAGCTCTTAATGTTAAAGAAGATTGTATTTTGTATTTTCCTAGCTTTCAGTGTTCTTTACTATACCTACCTCTATAGAAGTAGGAATAATGTATTTACAGTATCAATAATCAATATCCCTTTCCTTCCAAACCTAATTTTTAGTATGGATAAATGCACTGATTCCCTTTTTAGCTAACCTGGCCATTAGCTCATGTTCAATTGTGTTTCATCTTTTGTCATCTTCTAACTTAAAAAAAAAATCTTTTCTGAAACTACTTTGCCAACTAGAACCAAACTGGACCGCAATCATCATTGGGGTATCTAGTTTGAAAATGTGTCTGATGATCCTACCTGTTAGCTAACATGGCTAAAAATAGAACATAAGTTTAAAATGCAACTTTTTTTTATTATCTCATAAACCTTTAATAACTTTTTAACCTTTTGACCAACGCCTATCAAATTTTAATTTGTAGTTACTGATGACAAAAAGGAGGTCAAGTTCAATGTTGAAGATTTTCATTTTGTTCAGGAGTTATGGTCCTTGATAGATTGGAACGTGGCACTTAATGTCGTTTCCATGCAATAACTTACAAACTCAACAGCCTATGCTATTCAACTTTAATAACTTGTTACAAATGACAAAATGGAGATCAAATTTGAAATGGACTGTTTTCTCTTTTACTGTTCAAGACATATGATCCATGATAGATTGGAAAATAGGCACAGAACAAAGCAGGTCAAATGAGCCTGAAATTGCCATATATTAGAATATATCAATTCCATTCATACAAGCTGTCCTGTTAAAATCAACAATGTTTACATTCAAAGTATATAATCATTAGAAAATAAGAATAGAGGCATCATATATAAACTACTGGAATTATAAAATTGTATGGATAAGAGCAAGAATACATTAAATAAGTTGAAATATTAAGGAATGAAAGGACATATTCAAAATTGGGTATTTGAGATGTGTACAATATGTCATGGTGCTAACTTATTTAATGTGCAATTTAAAGTTTCTTGGACAAACATTTGATGTTTATGATAGTTTCATATATTTATTGTTGGTGTTAAAAAGAAGAAGTTCAAAAAGATTTAGATTTTGTTGTAGACCTTTTAATGATAAATGTTCATACAATGTACAATGAAACAAAATGACTTTCCTTTTTCAACCCCATCTTATCATTTGCTACTTCTCTTCCCCTTACCATGTCTGTCCCCTTTCAATATAATGTTATAGTCTTCAAAGGGCAAATAATACTTAAGGTTTATTATTATTATATAAGTGACCATATAGGTTTATATGATAAAACACTGCCTCATTGACCATTTCTAGTTTTTATACGACCGCAAAAAAAATTTTGTGGTCGTATATTGGTATGACGTTGGCGTCGTCGTCGTTGGGTGTTTTTGTACCAACAGTTAAGGAATTAGGGGCCAAAAATAAGCATTTTTGTAACTTCCAGACATAACTTGTGTGTAAGTGTATGGATCTCTCTGACATTGTACCACAAGGTCTCATATCACAAAGGGAATGCTGGGATTGATTTTGGGGGTAATTGCCTCCAAATTTTAGGAATTAGGGGCCAAAAAAGGGGCAAAAAACAAGCATTTTTCTAGTTTCATGACAATAACTTGTGTGTAAGTAAAATTGAGAATGGAAATGGGGAATGTGTCAAAGAGACAACAACCCGACCATAGAACAGACAACAGCAGAAGGTCACCAACAGGTCTTCAATGCAGCGAGAAATTCCCGCACCCAGAGGCGTCCTTCAGCTGGCCCCTAAACAAATATATATACTAGTTCAGTGATAATGAACGCCATACTAAACTCCAAATTGTACACAAGAAACTAAAATTAAAAATAATACAAGACTAACATAGGCTAGAGGCTCCTGACTTGGGACAGGCGCAAAAATGCGGCGGGGTCTTTCTGAAATTGTACTACAAAGTTCCATATCACAAAGGGAAAGCTGGAATTGAGTTTGGGGGTAATTGCCAAAAACCTTTAGGAATTTGGGGCCAAAAAGGGGGCAAAAATAAGCATTTTTCTAGTTTCCAGACAATAACTTGTGTTCAAGTGTATGGATCTCTCTGAAATTGTACTGTAAGGTACCATTCCACAAAGGGAAGGCTGGGATTGATTTTGGGAATAATTGCATCTAAATTTTAGGAATTAGGGGCCAAAAAGGGGCAAAAAAACAAGCATTTTTCTAGTTTCAGGACAATAACTTGTGTGTAAGTGTATGGATCTTTATGAAATTGTACTACAAGGTTCCATATCACAAAGGGAAAGCTGGGTTTGAGTTTGGGGGTAATTGCCCTAAATGTTTAGGAATTTGGGGCCAAAAAGGGGCCAAAAAACAAGCATTTTTCTAGTTTCCAGACAATAACTTGTGTTCAAGTGTGTGGATCTCTCTGAAATTGTACTGCAAGGTACCATACCACAAAGGGAAGGCTGGGATTGAGTTTGGGGGTGATGAATCATAAGGGGGTTCAAAAATTTGGGGGGGGGATTTTTTTTTCTTTAAAATTTTCCATTTTAAATTGGTTATTTCTGATTTATATATAAAAGCAAATAATAATGATATGGTTTGAATAGGTAAATTAAAAATTTTTAAGTTCTTAGACCACATTCATTCTGTGTCAGAAACCAATGCTGTGTCAAATATTTAATTACAATCCAAATTCAGTGCTGTATCAAGCTTGAATGTTGTGTCCATACTTGCCCCAACTGTTCAGGGTTTGACCTCTGCGGTCGTATCAAGCTGCGCCCAGCGGAGCATTTTATTGATAAAATTAAGACATTCTCTTTTCATCAGTTATTATAAAACTGTAAATTCAGAATTTTTTTTAGTGTTTCAATTATTGCTGTTGTTGAACAATCAACAAACATGTGGAATTCAAGTACTGGTATTATGATTTTAGGAAATGCTTTATTCAAATAATGCTATCGAAATTCCTATCCTGTTGCAATTTTTGCAACACATGTAAAAAAAAATTGCAAAAAGTTCTGAATTTACAGTATGATTATTGTAAAATATTAAAAAAATATTTTTGTAGCTTCATTATAATTTTGAAAGTTGGCCTAAGTAGCTTAAGGTTTCTATTGAATAGGTTATTGCTTGTAGGTTAATTTTTCTAGCAATGACAGAAATCTTTGTTTTAATCTTGCTGTGTAACTGTATTACTTCAAGATGAATATTTATGTGTTATTTATTGAGTCCTAAGTGCTTGCTCATTGCCAATCATTGCCGTACAAAATTGTAACCATTTTATCAGTGCTTTCTAATGTCTTCCTCAGTACAACATTCATAGTAATTCATTCATATTACAGTTTCTTTTATAATAATTTTAATTTTGTAACTCCCCCCTAAATTATTGCCAGACTTACAAAATTGTATACTATTTTATCAGTGCTTTCCTATTGTCTTCCTCAGAATAACATTGATAATAATTCATTCATATTACAGCTTTCTTTTACAATAATTTTATATGTTGTAGCTTTCTGTGATTTTTATCACCTCTCTCCCCCCCCCCCCCCCCCTTTTTTTTTCTTTGTTATGGCTGTAGATATTGAGCTGATTTTGATTATAACGGTATAATGGTTAGTTGCAAATCAAGTTTGCATTTGGATTGACAGAATTACCGTCCTTAGAAAATTGTACATGTCTGAACCTTTTTGGTTGTATCTGTAAATATTGATGCTGTGGATAACATACTTTTCACTTCTGAGTTCTTCCTTCTCCACAGTACAGGCCATTCGTTTGATATGTGGCGATAAATATTTTTTATAATTTTTCATGCAAGTTGTCATTGTTCTCCATTCTTAACAGGATATTTATAGTATGTCAGATATATAGGGATCATTGCCGCCATATTTTTTGGGGTGTTCAGGATATAAGTGTAACATGTGTCAATTGTTCTTAAAAAATACCACTTGAGCAAGTTCAGATAAAAACTAGTCATGCATTACATTTCTATACTATCCTAAAATAAATTTAAAAAAAACATGAAATTATCTCTTGCAAATAAATCCAAAAGCAAATACAATGACCAAACAATATCCAAGTAGAAAGACTACAATATACCAGAATATTTTTATACGATATTATTCTTGAGATGTTTTTAAAGGTTTTCCACATTTTTATGGAATAAAAAGTTTGATATTTGTTTAGTGTATGAGCAAGAAATTTGTGGATGAGGTCAGAAAAAGCAGTGAATATTTTCTGGTCTTTAATTTCTCCTATGTGCAATTACTTAATGTAATATATATACCATATTTTGTTTGATTGCAATGCATTGTTTATAAGTATTGTTATAATAATATAGCATTGTTTTGTTGACTCCTACCTTGTGTTCTGAACAAAACTGGATTTCAGTAGCAAATTCAGAAATCATTATTTCTGAGGAATTCATTTCTAAAAATAATGCAAATAACAATAAAATAAATTATACAAATTTTGTTATGTAATTTGTCCATATCAAAATCTTTTTCCTTCAATTGTTGTTCCTCTCTGCAGTAATTATTATGTTGATCAAAACCATATTTGGAAATGTAGATGTTAGGACTTTATTTGATGTTGTATTTAATGTAAAAGGTAATGTTTGGAACAGTTAAAAAAAGGCTCAGTCAGATTTATTGTTTGTTGTTTGCTTCATGTCCAGTGGCAAATATTTCATTCATATTCAGAGTGAAAACAAGATTTTACTGTTGTTATGTGAATAAATGAATGAATAAGAAATATCAAGAGAGCACACTTACTTTCTTTCATATGTTTTCCCTTGGAATATAGTCTTGAATAGGATACTAGTGGGGTTAGTACATTTTGAAAATCTTGTACCAGTTTTGAACAAGGAACAAAAGATACAAAATTTTGTACATGAATGAAATACATGTATTATCCCTATTTTCTGTATTGGATATGTTTTGTACCTTTGTTATATCCCCTCTTTAAAGTTGAAGGTTATACTGCAATCACCTTGTCCATCTCTCCATTCATCAGCCCGTTTAGCCAACAAATATTTTCTTCTGAATTTTTTCAAAAACTACTTACAGCAGCTTGACAAACAAGAGTTGTAAGGTGTTAGCACTTTTGGGCGCTGTGTGATATCTACTTCCAGTTTGATGACATTAATATTTTGATATGTTAAATGAACTTAGAAAATTTGTTGTCACACTTTCCAATTCTACTAAAGAGAATGACTTCATATTTGACCAGCAGCTTGACTGTGATGTGTAATAGTGTGTGCACTTTCTGTCAGACACCTACTTCTCGTGGTGGTATGGTGAACATGACATAGTGTTTATTCTAATATTGCAAAGTAATTCCTAGATGTTTTCTGGTTTTTAAAAAAGGTAATACCAAATAAGTGTGACCATTATGGTGAAAATCTTCATGGTATACAAGAAAAATATAGGGCAAAAATATTATTGTTTCACAAAAGGTTACCATGAACTGGATCCAAAAGCAAAGATCCCACAAATCTGTAAAAGATTAAGATATCGTTAATATACTTAGTCAAGATCAAATGTTGCTTAACAGCATATTTGTCGAGCCTTCGACTTTTGTCGAAAAAGCGAGACATAGCGATCCTACATTCCATGGTCGTCGGCGTCCACAAATATTCACTCTGTGGTTAAAGTTTTTGAAATTTTAATAACTTTCTGAAACTATCCTGGATTTCTACCAAACTTGGACAGAAGCTTGTTTATGATCATAAGATAGTATCCAGAAGTAAATTTTGTTAAAAAAAATCCTGTTTTTCCGAATTTTACTTATAAATGGACTTAGTTTTTCTGCCAGGAAACATTACATTCACTCTGTGGTTAAAGTTTTTAAAATTTTAATAACTTTCTTAAACTATCCTGGATTTGTACCAAACATGGACAGAAGTTTGTTTATGATCAAAAGCTAGTACCTAGAAGGAAATTTTTATTAAAATTTTGTACTTGTTTATCCATATTTTACTTATAAATGGACTTAGTTTCTCTTCCAGTTAACATTACATACAGTCTGCAGTTAAATTTTTTAAAACATTTATTAGATTCATAAACTATCCTGGATTTTTACCAAACTTGGACAGAAGCTTCTTACAATAAAAAAATTGTATCGAGAGGAATATTTTATTGAATTATTTCCTCATCTCATTTTTGTTGAGCCTGCGATTAACAGCAAAAGTAGGCGAGACACTGGGTTCCGCGGAACCCTTACGAATTTATTATACTAAGCATAACAAGAAAATGGAAGTGATATTTCATTTATTTGTGAAAAAAACGGCCTCAAGTATGAGTTATAGGTCAAAGTGACTGCATAGTGATGTACTGTACAGTAGTAGTGGAATATAAATGTAATAGCAAAGGATTTTGAGAAATGGCAGATAACCAAAATCACTATAACAGAAAATTAAGATTGTAGTGACCACAATTTTGACGAATGCTTTTGCACAAGTCCAAGGTGACTGCTATAGTGCAATATGATTGACAAATGTACCTATTCATAAAACTTAAAAGAGAGGCGAAAGATACCAAAGGGACATTCAAACTCATAAGTCGAAAATGAACTGACAACGCCATGGCTGAAAAAGAAAAAAAATACTAACAAACAAACAACAGTACACAAAACACAACATAGAAAACTAAAGACTGAGCAACACGAACCCCACCAAAATCTCAGTGATCTCAGATCCTCCGGTAGGGTAAGCAGATCCCACTTATTATGCGGAACCCGCCGTGTTGCTCATGTTAGTACAAACCCGGTGATAAGTTCAATTCGTAGGTCACACTCGGGGGGGACGGGACGGGACGGGATTGTAGTAACGACAATTGGAACATATCCGTTGTCATCTGTGAAACGGATATTCCATAACGATCAACCAACTCTTGATGGCGTCCTGAAAATTCACAAAGGGATGATTTCAACTGCACCGCTTGGAACTCTAGATTAAATAGCTACCTTGTGAGCAGCAACCATCTATCAAGGAAATCATGATAGGAAATACAATCCATGGAATATCGTTTCAACTGGGAGTTATATACTCCGTATGCAGGCGCTGCTGGAATGTTGCTACATAGAAATGGAAAGTTCACAATTGTGAAGCTGAAATCATCTCTTGTATCGTAAAGTGTTTTTTTTTCAACCGACCCTCATTGTCAATTTCTAGATTTAAGTCAAGATATGAGGCAGACTTAACTGTATCTGTTGTATCCTTTATCTCAAGTTCGATGGGATAAACGCGTTCAATATAGGTCACCAAAAAGAGATCATCATCTATATAGCGGAAAGTGACTTAACCCAACTAAATAGTGAGTTTGCTTACTCACAGACATGACTGATGTGTCTACATATGTTTCAGCCATATTTTTGGGGTAAATACATCTTTTTTGGTTGGGTTTTTGTTAGTCATACCGAGCCATGATTTTAATAGAAGGGAGAACAATTATTAATGATTTAAGACAGTTTAAACAGTTACAGCGTCTCCTAAAATTACTTCATAAGCATCAACACAAATTATACCTCCACTACAAAAGTTAGGGCTATTTTGCAATCACGTCCGTCCAGCCATCCATTAGTCCAAACATATTTTTGTCTTTTTTTCAGGAACCACGGAACGGAACGACTTTACATCTGGTCAGCAGCTTGGTGGTGATAAGTTATGATATGTTAGCACTTTTCGGGTCTTATCATCAACCTACTTCCTACTTGCTACTTGCTGATACTTTAAATATTTCATATGTTAAATAAGCTTCAGTATTTTTTTCCGTCACACATCTCTCCAGTACTATTGAACGAAATTACTTCCGTTGAAGAAAGTTCCCCTGGAAATGTTTTTGAACAAATGATGCGAATGTTGCTTTAGATCGGACCAAATATTAAAGATGAAGTCTATACTTAAAACTGAAGACCATTAGAGTTCCTCAATTCTAAAGTGCAAAATTGGAAATGTTTTCTTGACATGAAGATCTGCCGGCTATGAATCTTCGTCAGTCTAGAATTCACATTTCATATTGAACATTGTCCAAAAGATACGAAAACTATGTTTTTTTGTGTGTAAATCACACGATACAACTGCTTGTCAAGGGAATAAAGTATTGACAATTCACTTTAAAACCCAACGTATACTCGATTTGTACAAAATAGGCAAAACTGAACAATCATGTTAATCTATTTAATGTTCTTTGACATTTCAACGTAATCTTCCTTCGCAGTGCTGGATAACCAACTTAAATAAATGTTCTTACAAACATATTTTAATGTAATATGATATGTAACACATCTTTTGATTGGTTAACGTCTGTCGTCAATTCCACGGTCGTATTGAATGTGCATGACATATTTGCCACTGGACGTTAAGCAAGTACCAATCAATTACTCAGTTCCACGGTTGACGATCGGAGTCATTGGGAACAACATAGCTCGAACTCAGTCAACTGGCAATTCCAGGATATTCAATTGTCTATTTTGTACTGTTTACTAGTATTGTATTTCTTAGGAATAACATTCCTGTGTTGGAAGAGTTGTCGCCGTCAATTTGGGATGTAATGGTCTCAAATCTCCATAAAACTACATTGGCGATCGTCACATCACCAATTAACGATGGCAACTCTTCAAACACTTTATTCCTTATTTGCTGAATCTGCCAAATGCTCCATGAACCCCTTTCCTAATTAATAGTATATTGACATCTATCTCATCAGTCATCTAAACTGGGTTTCAAAGTTACTGTCAAACTACCTACTCCACTGGCAGTGTGAATCAATCCAGGTCCGTTCGCCCACTTACATAATTGAACTGCATTAGTTCCAAATGTAAAATAATGTCAGATTTAGTGTTTAATTTCTTGATGTAATCTGAACATTATTGCACACTGGTCATATGCACCTGTGATCTTATCGATCGTGACTATTGTGTGTTGTATTACAGCTATCAGGTAACTTTTGTATCATACTTCCAAATTACCAATGATCTTCTTTTTGACTTGTCTACATGAATCAGTATAGGCACCAACATTGTGATTGTGTATGATTTAACTGCAATCAGATATTTACTTAGTATTTTACTGTGATTTGCTATAATGTCTAAGGGAGAATATGAACAACTGAAGACGAAGTTATTAATATGATTTATCTTTATTTAGGTCATGGTACATATACTGTACCTTATTTATGATTGAATGAGGAGATTCCATTACTGACGTCCATAAATATAATATTTGTCAAAACACACGAGATGAAAAAAGCCAAGCTCACGGTAGGTATAGTGTCCGACTGTGATCGTGGTTTTTCGAGTGATTTGATCGTTTTTTTTCGAGTGTGACCACTTTTTTTCGAGTGAATATGATCAAAAATATAAACAAACAGACTTCCTTTCTAGTAAAACGTGAAAAAAGGTGCTAGAACCTTATATACAATATCATAGAAGGTAAATTAGTATTTTTGATAAAAAGATATCAATCCTAAATTATTTTGTTCTAAAAACGTTTAATATAGCCTTACAATGCTTTATTCCAAAATATAGATTAAAGCCATTTTTATACACATGCCAATGCAAATGTCAACGGAAATGTGCACATGGAATCCATGTATACTTAGATACACACACCCTTTATAAAAATTCTTGTTTTTGCATTGAAAAGGACATTTTGGAGAGTAAATTCATTTTTATATGTCCGTTTTTTTTCGAGAGCAGTCTGTGTTTTTTCGAGTGTGTCCTTGTTTTATCGAGTGAAAACATAAAATTCCTCT